TAGTCCTGCTTGCTCGACTGGTTGGACCTCATCCAATGTCCTTGATATGCGCGAGAGGATAATCTTCGTGAGCAGCTTGTAGAGTACATTTGAAAGGCATATGGGACGATTGTCACGTTGATCCATTCGGTCTCCTTTCTTGGGCAGGATGACCGTGCGCGACATCCTCTACTGGTCTGGGATTTTTTCCTTTTGAAGGTAGCCTGTCATATTATCTGCGAAAAGTACATGTAAACTATGGCCTCCAGCTCTAAGGAAATCGGCAGTGGTATTATCGTGTCCTGGAGCTGTGCCTCTTTTCATGCTTTCTATTGCAACTCGAACCTCCGACGGAAGAATTCCAGGTGGTTTTTCTCCAGCGGGGATATTAGAGGCGAGGACGGGGATTGTGGAACAGAAAAGATTGGTGTAGAACGTTACCGCTATTAATTCCATATCATGGCGGAAAGCTTTGACGATCCCTTCTTCGTTCGTTAGGGTTGACAGCGAAACATTATAATCACACAAGTCCCGACGGCATTTTTTCAGACTGCTTCTTTTCTCTGCTGCTTCCAGTATTTTCTTCTGCTTGTACCGTTGTAGATGTTTCTGGAAAGCTCTTCTGCAGCTGGCATTTATCACCAGCCATGTTAAACGTGTTGCAGTAAGATCAAGCATCAGTTTCCTTTCCTTTTTTAGCAACTCCTCAGTAGTAATTGAGATGCGATCTCATTTTCTTGCTTGAGGAACTGAGGCGAATTCGGCGCAGCTTTCCAGTCCTTCGACAAGCAGCTCGTAGTATTCTGTCGGGTCTTCTTTAATCTGCTAGTAACGTTTGGATAGGACTTCGTTCAGAACGTTTTTGTCGTATACAGCTAGACTTTTTCTTCGTGGTCGATGAAGAGAGTTTTTTCCAGCTTGCGGCTGAATCAAATCTTCGCACGAAAAAGGCGGTGATCGGAACCGGTACAGAATGATGGGACTACCGAGGTGTCAAGTAGGCACCGTCTTCTGCTTGTCAGAATATAGTCGATCTCCGCATGAGTCATGCCGTTGGAAGAGTTTCATATCCAGCGGCACCTTTCTTTCTCCTCGAAAAACGAGTTTCCATGGAAGAGACGTACTGCTGACAGGAGTCTTGCGAGACGGTTTCCATTCTCATTTCTTTCTCCTAATCCAAAATTTCCGATTTTGTATTCGCTCTCGTTGGCCTTTTCTATTCTGGCGATGAAGTCTCCGACAACAAATTAGTGATATGCTTATCATTTCGGATGACTTCCTCCTACTGTTAGTAGAACGCATTTAATTCGTACTCATCAGCTGCGTCGGTTGGTGAGTTTCAGTTGATGATAGTGATCTTCTTATGATGCGACAGTTGAAGATGGAAGACGGCTATGTGAGGGGAAAGGATCACGTATGAGTCGACGAGATGGACAATGGGCGGGACCCCACCGACATTTCGCGACGGGAGCTTTTCTCCGCGGATCACAAGGGTTCCGTTGTTTAGTTGGCGTATGTCGGTTTTCTCGATTTTTGTTTCTTTTAATGCGATCACATGAAATTTAATGCGATCAGCAGCTACAAGAAGGGCGTGAAGATCGGCGTCTGTGAAGAGTGTTCTGGCATTATACGTGCATAGTAAGAAACAATCTCCATGGCGTGTCGTGCGTGTGTTCGTTAGATCCGGTTCCAATGACTTCCTTCGTAACCCGAAACTTTCTGGCCTCTTACTGGTCGTCTCACCGCCTGACGTCATAAACGGGAGCACCCAGTGTGCGGGGTACTGAGGCTGGTCTTTTGCTGGTCTCAAGCATTGGTCCTCCCTGGAGTCCTGACGTAACCTTGCAAGTGCGTATCCAGGTTTTCACCACGATGTAGATCAGAGAGGTGTGTTTTCGGCGACGAATCCTTCGCTCGGTCTTCCTACTGGTTGATTCGGAGAGATGTTAAAGCCGAAATCAGAAAAGCAAGTTGGAATGAAAAAGTAACCGACCGCTCAACGACGATGTAGAAGCCGAATCCCACAAGATGTATTAACTGGGGATATAATTTATTAAGCTTATTTTGAACAAAAAAAATCCTCTGAAAAGCACTTATAGACCGTCAAAGCATTCGCGACGATATTTTCGTTGATTTTAATGCGAATACTGCGAAAGTAACACTTTAGATGAATATATCTCGACACAAAGCTAACTTTATTAGCTGCCACGATAGTTTTTGAAACCTGTAGAACTTTTCATTCAAGAAACAAATTCTTATTTTACCAAGGTTAAGCTTGTTATTTTCTAAAAATTTTAAAAATCTAAATTTTACTTTCAATTTTTTCCGAGTTTCAGCTGGTAAAGAATTTAAGTTTGCAGAAAGTATTCTATTTATGGAACTGTATTCACTATTAGGGCAATGGGGTAAAGCTCCTTCCATAACAGGCCTCTTAAGGTGTGTAATTCTGAGGTGTCCTATTTATTTAAAAAATATTGACATTTATGGAAGTTATTATAAACAGAATTTGGTTATTGATCGATTGGTCGCAGTGATAGTCCCCGTCTTTTAAGCAATAAGTGTTGTCGAAATCTTCAGATTTTTTAATTCTTGCATTCACCATTTATTCATCACTAAGGAGATCGCTCTGCTAGTGATGGACACGAGACAATTATGTTCCGGAAATTTAACCTTAATATATTTATTTATGTGATCTTATAAACTGATCTTTTGGTGTTATTGATCGATGGCTGACGTTTCGGCGGCTTCGCCTTCCTCAGAGCCTGGACGTATTTAATGTTAGAATACTTTTTATTATTTGGTGAAAAAGAAAGGTTAAAGTGTTAATGAAGATCAAACTTTCAAATAGACGCCATATTGAACAGAAAGGCCACTCACCGTGATGTTACCTGCGGACTGGCCCACGCGTTGTTTTCGTGGAGTCGCGAGCGAGACACACACCGGGGTCAAAATATCATTTTGAAATAGGGCTCCAGCTCACGCGTGCTAGCGAGGCATTCGTCCTTCCGGTTCATCTTTGGTTTTTTGAAATTTATCCAAAACGCCTCAAGAGTTTTGCGCGTTGATGTTTTTGATTCCTGCGCTAGGATCCGCACATTCACTTCAAAATCATCGCCGTTGTGCTTTTGTGCCCTATGCGTACCTAGAGGGGTGTTTAAAGGGATTTTAGCTTTTCCTTCTAGATGTTCTTTTATGCGGACACAAAGTGGTCCACCCGTTTCCCCGATATATTCCTCGCCGCATGAGATCAAGTATATTATGCCTAAACTCATGCAATCCCCGTCTCTCCCGTTGGGACAGCTCACACAGTTTTCTGATCTGCACAAACGGTCATAGAGACGGTTTCGAACTAACTGGCGGCGTACTGTATTGGATGGAATGTCAATAATCGTTACATAATTTCATTTTTCATAATTTTCTTCATTTCGGGGATTCCACATGAACTACGTGTGGGCCAGTCCCGCACGTAACATCACGGTGAGTGGCCTTTCTGTTCAATATGGCGTCTATTTGAAAGTTTGATCTTCATTAACACTTTAACCTTCTTTTCCACCGAATAATAAAAAGTATTCTAACATTAAATACGTCCAGGCTCTGAGGAAGGCGAAGTCGCCGAAACGTCAGCCATCGATGAATAACATCAAAAACAACGACAACGACAACGAAGATCTGTACCAACCTCGCGTCAGCTTAAGAAGATCAGTTTTTAAAATCATACAAATAAATATATCAACTATCTATGCCGAGGTTTATAGAAAGTCGGTCTTTCGAGTTATTAACCTCAATAATTTCATTTTTATGAGCATCGCGATCTATAACTTCATATGAGGTCGACGAGAATGTGAGAGAGGAGTCACACAAGTACATGGCACTGTTTTTATCCATAAGAAGGAATCTGTAGAATAAATTGGATCTGGTCATGACCGAATGAGTGTGAGATTTTGTAGACAGACTACTTTATCTTTACTATTTTATATGGAAAGTTACCTTGAGTAGCTCTTCGAGCTGCCCTGTAGCAAAGGTTTACTCTTGTCTGTACTTCGACGTAATTCTGCTTCCAAGTAAGTAAAGAACTGCGAGATTACACGTTGTCCAAGGATCTGTATATCGATTTCCTTTTCGATTACGTCAGCTCAAAACTACTGGAAATTAGAACGGAGACGATGAAAGACATTACGTAGTGGTCCATCAATGGAGAGTTATCCTATGAGCTCTTCGAACTTCTGAGGGAGACACCTTGGTATGATCTTACATCAGATAAGCTTCTTCGTCATTATAACCAGATGGCTATTACATTGTACAGGCACGCACCTGTAACTCACAGTAAACCGGAGCAGAACTTCCATCTACTAGTAGCGTGCCCTTTAGATGAAATCTACAGACTATGTAATGTGTTACGCTCTTTACTTGTGATAAATAAAGAAAAATGCTGTTCGAGATGTTTCAAATGTGAAGCAAATTTCTGAGATAATTTCAAGAGGGCTAGAGCGTCAGTGGTAGGATGGTTGGTCCAAGGAGAACGTGTGTTAATATTTTAGTTTTAAAATTTTGATGAAACAGAAAGAATAAACTAACACGATCAACGACAATATACCTATCGAAAGTTCATTGGTATTTTGTAAAGAATTGCTGTGTATTAAATCGATGTAACATAGCTGGAGAAAAGAGACGGCTTTTTTGAAGAACTTTCAAGTCCTGTTTTGACAGAAATACGGTAGTTTTCAGATTTTGTGTTTGCTTGATTTCTATGTGCATTATGCCGAAGAACGAAAAGGACATGGTAAGGCGATTATTGACTATATGCTGCAGACCGAGCATGCTGAACCGTATCAGGTACGGTCGCCATTTATTTTCTAGTTAAGTTACTGTAGCCGTGATCTGGTAGAAATCTGAGGGACTATACGCGAATAGTTTGTGCTCTCACATCAAGCAAAAATCATTCTTTCAATTACTGCGAGTTGGAATTTCTGGTTTTTTTTTTTAAATGAAAGTATAGTTCGACTCCACTAGAGTGAGGCAAACCAGCCATCTCTTTGGTGTCTAGACATTGTTACCAGAATTATCTGGGATGCTCCTTTCGATCCGATCCTGGTAACTGCTTGTACCGAGTCTCCATCACGCTGTAGCACGGATTTCCTAGGAATCAAATGACAATCTAAATCGACCGTTGTTCCTCAACATTCGTGATTAAGGCGAAACGCCCAAGCACCAACCGATTTCGCAGGCAAAAATCTTTGTGGTTGCTGGACTTCAGGAAACGAATCGCGTGAAAGTCGCCCCGAAAATCTTGTAGCATGTGATGTCGCGTCTTTCATGTTGAGAAAGCAATTTTGTTTGAGTTTAAAAAAAACTTTACTTCAAAAATTGGATATTTTTGTCGAGTGCTCCTAGTAGTACCGTTTTTGAATGTCCGTTCTTCAAATCCCCTAAACGAAATGATCTTAGCTTTAGTTGGCGCTCGACAATCCATCAATGACGCAACTCGGCTTTTTCTCAGAACACTATGATCTCACAAAACCAATCTGGCAAAACACAAATTTCGTTGTGTTCGAAGAGCTCTTCAAATCGGTGGCCGTTAACGGAGATGGTACGAGTTTCCTACATCTTAACTTCTTATCTCGAAAATTTTGTGATATCGTATCGATAAGTAGTAGACGAGATAATGACAAATAGAGAGAATGAGCTCTTAGCACAAGAGTTGTCAGCGTCATAATCATTATAACGGTTTCTTTGCCCATATTACTCCTCTGTTTTAAGCAAATAAGCTGCTAAACCTATCAAATAAACCAAGCCTAGAAGCGTATTTATAAATGACGCCGACTACTGGCAGCTAGAAACCAAAGAAATCCTTAATAACTCGAAAGACCGATTTTCTATAAACCTCGGCATAGATAGTTGATATCTTTATTTATTTGATCTTATAAACTGATCTTCTTAAGCTGACCCGAGGTTGGTACAGGCCTTCGTTGTCGTTGTCGCTGTTTTTGATGTTGTTGGTCGACGGCTGACGTTTCGTCGACTTCGCCTTCCTCAGAGCCGTGATGTGACATGTGGGACGCCGAAACGTCAGCCATCGACCAACAACATCAAAAACAACGACAACGACAACGAAGATCTGTACCAACCTCGGGTCAGCTTAAGAAGATCAGTTTATAAGATCATATAAATAAATATATAAAAGAAATTCTTTCTTATTACAGGCTTATACACCAGCTCTTCACTGATGTTTACATTTTCGTTTTTATTGTTTTTTTTTACTGAATGTTCGTGCTACTTATTTCCGCTTTTATTCCCTTACATTTCGATGTTGCGGGAGTCACATGGTCATTCACTTGCTTGGCGTGTAACCCTACTTGACTGCATCTGTGCAAGAAAAGCTCTTCAACTGTATCATGCCATCAAAGTCATCTTAATATAAAAGCCCTTTATTTTAATTTCAGGAGGTGAAAAACGATAGAAAATTTTCGATTAGTGTAAATAACTTTAAAACAGCCGAATAAAAGTTTTTGTACCAACTTCGTGTCACACACAGAAAATTATTGATTTTTGTCACCGGGGTTTAATGGAAGTAGGTTTTTAAGGAAATAACTTTGACGATTCGCTTTACAGAAAACTTCATTTGAACACTGTTTTTGGTTGTTTGTTTAATCCTTCAATAAAATGACATGATGTGCGCCACCTGCGCCTGACGATATGCATCAGCTCCGCAACAGTAATGTGCTCCGGTACCAAGAATTTACAACGGTCCATGAGTCCGTTTTACTTACTGCCTACTCTTTTTAATGGCAATGTATATTGCGAAATATAACTTCAACGATGCTGACATATTGGCAAAACTTTTTTTTTTCCAAAAACTGCTTTTTTCAGCTGATAAAACGCCGGAAGGATGGAGTCGACCTCACACGCCACGTCAGATCGGCAACGGTGGCACGGAGACTCGTTGGCTACGACATGCCATCAGTGGACGTATGGCCAAGGTATTGAAGAGGTCTTAGAATGTAAAAGCAGAGAGACTGCTGTCGATAGGCCAATACGTCACACCAAAACGGGGCTACTTAGTGCCATTTTCCTCCACTAAGAAATCGAATGTACTTCGGATAAAAGAAAGTACAAGATATTCAAAGGATACAAACATTAATCACCACTGCATACCATCTTGACCTCATCAATCATCGAGGAAATCGAGTGAATACCAATAAATTCCAATAGTCCTCGCCTCTCAGTTGACTCTACTGGCATCAGAGACTAGAACAGCACCATACCAGAACGGCACTGCGTTCTTCATTTGTACTGCTTATGTCGAGAACTTGATCACAGGTAGCTCTACGGACTCTGCTGTGGACTAAGCTTTACGTTTAGCTTTAAGCTCGGTTTCCCGATGGATTTACCGAAGTTCCTAAAGTTCTCACATTGGACGGTGGTGCAGAGAGTATGAATCCGTGCCGGGTCCGGCGTCCGGAAACATCGTTCAGCCACGATAGGGCTGTAAATCCTTTTCGCTAACGATTGCAACGAAATGAGATAACAAAGAACTGAAGACATGAAATTTTTTTAAAAAGCAGCATTTCTTATGGTGCTTTAGATTTCTCACCGTGATAAGAATTATACGTCAAACGATAAGAGTCTCTGGTTTCACGTCAGAAAAACAAACGTAATACGATTTTAGGAAAAATCGATGAAGGAAGCAATGAGAAAGCGTAGACATCTACAACACATTTTTGGTCAATAGGTATAATTTGGAAGATGTAAACAATTCATTTTACACGTTTGCAACGTGGTACATTGAATTCGATACGCACGTTAGTGGGCATAGTGGCCGATGCATATTGATTCCAATGCATTTCATTTATGACTGCATCTTTTGGCGCACTGAGATTTTTTGGCACACTTTTTACACCCAATCAGTGGAATCCTTGAATATGAAGATTTCCATTGCCAGTTCAAGGCTTTTTTCAACTATTTGCTTCTAATTTGACACTATAGAATCATGATGAACACAGACTCATGGGATGAATGCTGCTGTGGAAGTAGATCAATCTCCGGAAGGTTCATTGGCGAATCGTGCTCATCAAGCCAAGGCACGAAAGGCACACATCCTGTCAAGCAGCCCACTCTGGTAGCTTGAACTTCGACATTTTTCTCATCTTCGCTTTTCAGTCTACGTTTTTCACCTCTGCTGTTTTTTTTTTCGATTTTTGAATACCATTCTCCTAGACCAGTAAAGCCTCCATTTCTACACATTTTAAATGCTTTCTGACCTTAATGAAAACCTCATTTCATTCACATCAGTTTCTAAAATTACTACTTTTCATTGCTAACTGTACTGCTTGTAATGTCTGTTTTCATCGTATAAAGCTATGCTTTCAATAAAGAAATTAGCTCCATGAGGTAAAATGAGCGTCGGTATTGCTGAATGTTGGGCGCGTGTGGCGCAGTGGTCGGAGGCGCCCTGCAACACACACGTGGAATCCGTCCTTGCGCCCATGGCCCACCAAGCCTTCCACTCCGGGGTCGGCAAATTGGTAACAGACTTGTCTGGGAGGATAGCAGCACTGGCTCATTAGCACTGGCTCGGTAGGCCACCGCGAGTCATTGTGAAGGCCAGATATGCATTCAGTCACAGCCGAACGATGCTTAAGCTGAAGTCGAAGTCGAATGCATAGCACATCCCTCAAGGATTGATCAACGCCGAGAGCTTTATCCTTCTATTCTTTATTGCTTAATGCGGCGCTTATAACGCAGTGTTAAAGGGTGCACTTCAATCGACACACGGGTTCACTAGTTTGATCCCGCTTCCAACAAAAGTCCGTATCGCTCTGAAGTCAACAAACTGGTGCCAAACCTCTATGGAAGGATACATGGGTTTAGTGCACTGGTGGGCTCTAAATGATTAAACAGGGTAGATATGCATTCAGCCTCTTACGATGCTTAGTGAGGTCTAGTGCATGATCCATCCATAAGGGACTGGTCTACACCGAACCCTCCATACACTGCCACTTCGTTTGTGAGCGGATGTGTTCTAGCAGACTATGCACTATTTCAATTCTAGTCCAACACGTTAAAGAATAAAGCCCTCGGCGCTGGTCAATCTCTGAGGGATGGACCATGCATTCTACTTCATTAGGCGTCGTTTGAGGTGATTGAATGCATATCTGGCTCTTACGACGACTTGCGATGGCCTGCCGATGTATCGAGCTAGTGCTGCTATCCTCGCAGTCAAGTCAGGTGCCAATTCGATGATCCGGAAGGCTTGGTGAGCCTGGGCGGGGCGCGGGCATAGTTTCTACGTTTGTCCTACGCGTAGCTCAGATAAGTTCTACTTGATCTTTGCGTTGTGGCTCTTCGTAGTCGCATCGAGTTGAATCTTCTAGAGTGGAGTATCACTTGAATGCAGTAACCACACTGGGCGATACTTTTTGATGCAAAATGATTGTTAATCTAATGCCATTCGATATGACAGGCGGCATCATTATTAGCTGGCATAGCTAATAATGAGCTGAGAGCCATAGCTGAGAGCGTAATAATATTTTAACGACCGGCTTTGTTTTGAAGTCTTCACGGTTAATCAATATTTCGTTGGATGACATGAATATTGATCGATATCCAAGAAAATATTGACTAATCAGGCCGAGGCTAAAGGATTGTTGGTCTTTAAAATAATCCCTTAGAAATTTTGAATTGTGCAGAGGAAGAATAATGCGATAATACTTTTGAGAACTTTTTATTTTGTGTTGTGCTAACGTAGAGCATTCGGTTAGAGAAAATAACAGGACAATGTGCATCTTTATAGGTTCTGTTAAGCTATGTTGGGTTTGTTTGCCTCAGCCGAGGAGTCTTCCCTAATGGTATGAATGGTTTGAAAGTTTTATCCCACTCTGCTGGTTTCAGGGATTGACATGCTATGGGCAAAGTCATCGGTTGGTTATCCATCTACGATTTACGATTAACAAGGCAGGTTGCACGCAGCAAACCAACTCCATAAAACCGATCAGGGTTGATCTCTTTGTGTCACCCTCATTTCGAAAACGGACTACTTTTTGCCCTAGTGATTTCACTCTTCGTGGTCTAAATGCTCCCGTAATCAAAATACGAAAAAAGCAAAAAAAAACATTTTATTGTAACTCCCAAGTCCGACTTTCTATTAACCTCGGCATTGATTGAATATATCTTTCTATTTCTGTTCAGCAAACACGAGGTGCTATTTTATTTCTTTATTTACGCACAAGCTGACGTTTCGGCGGATTTCGCCTTCCTCAGAGCCTGGAAGGGTCAAGTTGACAGCAACCTATCCGGCCAAACACCTTCATAACCAAACAGAGAAAACGCTGAAGCAAGATTTCAATCACATTTAGCATAGCTCTGCACACTCACCGCTTTCTATGAGTCTTCCACTAAGTATGTCGCGTGAAGACCGACCGCACCAAATTCACATGGAAGCGTAATGTGCTCCTCACATCAGAGTAACAGGTTTATATACTGTCCAATATCGCGCGTGATAACGAGGCATTCCTCCCTGCGGTTCATTTTCGGATTCTTGGAATTAATCCTACGTGACATAGTGGAAACCTCATAGAAAGCGGCTCTGAAGAAGGCGAAATCCGCCGAAACGTCAGCTTAATCGTGAACAAAGAATAGTAACACCTCGCGTTTGCTCAACGAAAATACGGAGAAAATCACTTGAGCAATGCCGAGGTTAATAGAAAGTCGGTCGTGGCAGTTGCTTCCATGTGAATTCTGTGCGGTCGGTCTTCACGCGATATATTCAGTGGAAGACTCATAGAAAGCGGTGAGTGTGCAGAGCTATGCTAAATGTGATTGAAATCTTGGTTTAGCGTTTTCTCTGTTTGGTTATGAAGGTGTTTGGCCGGATAGGTTGCTGTCATCTTGACCCTTCCAGGCTCTGAGGAAGACGAAATCCGCCGAAACGTCAGCTTGTGCGTAAATAAAGAAATGAAATAGCACCTCGCGTTTGCTGAACAGAAGTAGAAAGATACATTTTGTTGTTTTTACTCAAGACTGCTATTTTTCACATAATCCGTCATCACATCTACTTTGCGGCTCCCAGCATTTCTTGGATTCCATTCGTTTTCTTCGCATTCATCACCCACAATAGCGTTCAAGCATTTCGCGTGTTTCGGTTGTTTCTTGAGGATTTCATCTTCTTTATGGGTGTTGTAGAATGCTTGTTAAGGCGATTCTGTTTGCAATCTTGGGTATAGCTGGACTAGCTGAGGAAGGGCGTTGGGGGTCGAAAGAACTCGCGCCTTTGCTTCCTAATCAACGACATCACTACCCACTGTACTATCCTCCGAGGCTCAACACCAATGTAATCATAATGAAGTTACGGGAACAGTAGTCTCTAAGTTTGACTGGCACCTCCAGTACCTGCAAAACTACCAAGGTAAGGCAGTCTTGGATTTACCTACGTCGACAGCGGAAACAGTTTCGGTAAGGAGGAGTGCAAGCCAACATAAAAGAATGAGAAGACAACTTTTTTCGTAAGCATCATTTAATATGCTTTTACAACGCATCATAGGCGCAATATTTCAGTGATGAAAATGCCGCCCAATACAAGCAAATCTCTGGCTTCATCCCAGTGGGACTGGGACATCGTAGCCAACTTGTCTGCAATCAGCTCGCTTTCTCTCAATCCGGGAAAGATAGCGTCTGCCTGTGGGGAAGACCTGAAAAATGCCTTAGCACTGATAACCTAGGATTTCAGAAACAGTCGACCCGACCAACATTCAACGACACTCAATAAAGAGTACCCAAGTCCTCACTCAACAGCTGTACTAACACGTAAATCTGAAGAACTTCGTGTGTAGTGGATGTGAGGAAACGAATTGAATGAGATAACTGCTAGGATCGAAACAATATGTGATGTAGGGTTAGAATAAACGAATGCGGAAATAAACACGACGGAGATGCTATAATACTTATAATAATCTTGGTAATTTATTACATTATACTTTTATTTATTGGGAACAGTGGGAATGCTGCCTAGATGTTATGAGGTCCCCGCGAAGCTTAGAATGTCTCAATATCGTTAAACCTCAAACATGAGTGGTTAAATCCTTAGAAACATCAGGACAATATACGATCGAGGCAGATGTGGGAAGACGTATTAAGGAATGCTTTAGTATTTCAATGATTAAGAGCAGTAAGCCAACATAGAATTGAGATTAGTGAAACTTTGATGGTCTTATGTAATGAGATATCAATTACTAGGTGGTAATAGTAACCGAACTAGTGAGTGATTGGTGTGAATACAGAACTCAACAATTTCATTTTACCATGAGGAAAGAAGGCGCGGGTGTGATACAGTGGTTAGAGGCGCCCTGCAATGGTTCATGGCTTGCACGTGGCTTCGATCCCGTGCCCCGGTCTCACCAAGCCTTCCATCCCTCTGAGGTCGCCAAAGTGGTACTAGACCTGTCTGGGAGAATAGCAGCACTGGCTCGATACATCGGTAGGCCACCGCGAATCACTGTTTAGATTAAATATGCATTCTACCACTTCTATCGATAGTTGATGAAATCGAATGCATAACACAGAGATGGTCAACGCCGACAGCTTTATCTGTTATCCTTTTTATGACGAAAGAAGATACGTCGTCAAGAAACAGTACAAGAAACCAATGAAATAACTTTAACAGTAGAAAATAGTGGTCCTTCTACACGATTCCGATCGAAAATGTGGTACCACAGGAGACAGTATGGAAGGGTAAATTCTAACGGGTGCTGCTAGTTTCGTTATTATTATCTGATGAGCAAGAATACCTTGCGGTGTTTGTGACGACGCTTTAGTTCCGATAGTTGACTGGGATGGGAAGACATTAAATTTTTGCCGAACGCATACCACGTGTCAAAAATCTGACTCATTCCTTTCAAAATATCTCAGAGTGGAAAGATCTTAATACTCTGCTCATCAGCGAAAGTTTATGTGTTACACTGTCTGTACAGTAAACTGAGAAATTGTAAATGTACGGCACAATATATGTGATAGTGAAGCTATCGATTTAATACAAGAAAAGTCAAATCAAGAATCTGTAACCGAATAGAAACGATCGGAAAAGAAATGAATCAACTGTGACTATCGTCCGTACCAATTGCCATTAAACGTGAGTCATATAGGATTCGTACCGTCCAGAACGTTTTAGCAATTCGATCGCTTGAAGTAAATGCGAACATGAGGCTAAAGTTTATCTCGTTATGTTTAGTTAGATCTGCTAATGGATGACAACAGTATCCTAATTAGCGATCGATGAAAATATGGAATTCAGCCGCTCAGCTCTAAGATTTGAAGAGGAAGGAATAGGAAAGGAAAGAGGAATAGGAATGAGAGATCCAGGCTTTCTGCAGTAAACTTCGATAATTTCAGCAGCTCGGAGCGTGGAAATATTACCACACAAGATAGTGGGCCGTAAATCTTCTCAACCACGTTAACGTGTAAACATATTTCATAATAATAAACATAATAAACATATTTCCTGGCAATTCAGTGTCCACAGCCAACGGTTTACCGACTCATCGCGGCTGGTTGTTCTTGGGTGTCTGCTTGTGATGTACTGCATAGGACTCATCCCCAGTAGGGTCTCCCAAGCTCAGGATTCCGGAGTTCCTAGCAAGGAACCAAGCTAAGAGTAAACCAATACCAAGATCCACCACCATCCTGGTATCATACAAGTCGCACGATAGTTAATCTACCACCGATCCACAAATCCACAAGGACGATAACCGCCTGTAGTGCTGCCGACATGTAGCTGATTTTCGCCTGGCTAACCTCAGGACTCCAGGGAACTACAATGGCTTAACCTGCAAATCTCCGAAAAATGGAGGTTATGCTGGGCCCCGCACGGCTAGCGAAGACGGGCCATCTAAGTACCCAAGTAAATAACTCAGTGTCCGCTAAGTCCGTATTTGTTGTTCAATAAACGCAGCAGCTACAGGTCTTGCATATCTTCAGCTTTTATTAGTATATCCGCATCAAAACAAAAAGAAAAGAGAAAAGAAACATCACATCCACCGATAATGTTCAAAACAACACATGAGAGCTGCATAAAGATATCCAAACGACGATTGAAAGAGCATACACAACAAACAGCTAAAAAATATACACGGCCACCGCTTCATTGTCGTCGTCGTCATCGTCTTCGAATGCTCTCACGTGTGCCAATAAGGAGGCATTATCTAGTAGATAATCACATTGGAGCCCGGTCGATAAAGTTAACAAATAATTACAAAAATTGTAGTGTTAAATAATAGCCACGAAAGGAAGCGCAGCGACAAAACGCCACACCCACCGCTCGGATTTCCATCATAATAGGCTTAGCAGAGAGGCAGCATATGTTACTGATTATATTTATACTACAATAATAACGTACAATCGGTTGAAAAAGTAACCAAATACATTAGGTTCAGGATTTTGAGAGTTGGTTGGATAGCCAGTCCAAGCCCTCGTATAGTCCATGGCCTTGAGTTGCACACGTCGCCTGGATATACCACTAAAAACAATCAGTGTTAGGAAAGTTGTACAACGAAATGATGTATGAAATCGTTAGAACGGTTAAATTTTCAGTACCTTAATCTAACGAAATATTAAAAACTTTTCCTCCTAAGGACCAAACAGTGCATATCGCAGTTTCACTTGCTATCGATTAGATGACGTCTCTACAGTCATTTTTTCGAACAACGACTGACTGAAACATCCACGACAACGCTTACTTTTCCGAAAACTATAGGTAATCTCGACAACTTGAGAAAACAAGAAGTTCCCAAACTGAAAGACTTAGAGAACCGATTTCCCTTTACTATCACAAAGGAGAATTTCTACGTTCTGTCTAACTGCATTTAAAAAATCACGAATAATTCTGCTATGAAACTTCTAAAATCTCAACACAAGCACAAGGTCCCAACACGAAATGTCGGTGGCGTAGGCTTTGTTGTCCACCCATCAATTATCCATCTCGTCGACTCATACGTGATCCTTTCCCCTCGCACAGCCGTCCTCCGTCCTCAACTGTCGCATCATAGGAAGATCACTGCCATCAACTGCTTCTCACCGACTGACGCAGCTGATGAGTACGAATTAAATGCGTTCTACTATCAGTAGGAGAAAGTCATCCGAAATGATAAGCATATCATTAATTTGTTGTCGGAGACTTCATCGCCAGAATTGAAAAGGCCAACGAGAGCGAATACAGGATCGGAAATTTTGGATTAGGAAAAAGAAATGAGAATGGAAACCGTCTCGCAAGACTCCTGTCAGCAGTACGTCTCTTCCATGGAAACTCGTTTTTCCAGAAGAAAGAAAACCGCCGCTAGACATGGGAGTCTCCCAACGGCATGATACATGCGGAGATCGACCATATTCTGATAAACAGAAGATGGTGCCTAATTGACACCTCGGTAGTCACGTCGTTCTGTACTGGTTCTGATCACCGCTCTCTCCACGCGAAGATTCGATTCAGCCGCAAGCTGGAAAAGAACTCTCTTCATCAACCACGAGGAAAAACTCTAGCTGTATACGACAAAAACGTTCTGAACAAAGTCCTATCCAAACGTTACTAGCAGATTAAAGAAGACCCGACAGAATACTACGAGCTGCTTGCCGGAGGACTGAAAAGCTGTGCCGAATTCGCCTCAGTTCCACAAGCAAGAAGATCAGGTCGCATCTCCATTACTGCCAAGGAGTTGCTCGAAAAGGGAAGAAAACTGAAGCTTGATCCTACTGCAACACGTTTAACATGGCTGGTAATAAATGCCAGCTGCAGAAGAGCTTTCCAGAAACATCTACAACGGTACAAGCAGAAGAAAATACTGGAAGCAGCAGAGAAAAGAAGCAGTCTGAAAAAATGCCATCAGGACTTGTGTGATTATAATGTTTCGCTGTCAGCCCTGACGAACGAAGAAGGGATCGTCAAAGCTTTCCGCCACGATATGGAATTAATAGCGGTAACGTTCTACACCAATCTTTTCTGTTCCACAATCCCCGTCCTCGCCTCGAATATCCCCGCTGGAGAAAAACCACCTGGAATTCTTCCGTCGGAGGTTCGAGTTGCAATAGAAAGCATGAAAAGAGGCACAGCTCCAGGACACGATAATACCACTGCCGATTTCCTTAGAGCTGGAGGCCATAGTTTACATGTACTTTTCGCAGATAATATGACAGGCTACCTTCAAAAGGAAAAAATCCCAGACCAGTAGAGGATGTCGCGCACGGTCATCCTGCCCAAGAAAGGAGACCGAATGGATCATCGTGACAATCGTCCCATATGCCTTTCAAATGTACTCCACAAGCTGCTCACGAAGATTATCCTCTCGCGCATATCAAGGACATTGGATGAGGTCCAACCAGTCGAGCAAGCAGGACTACGAAGAGGATTTTGCTGCATGGACCACATCTAAACCGTGTCCAGGGTCATCGAAGTTTGTCGGGAATACCACTTGCCTGTAGTCCTAACCTTTGTCGACTATGAGAAATCGTTTGACAATGTCGAAACGAATGCAATCCTATCAGCGCTCGTCGACCAAAGGGTGGACCCGTCGTACATAAGAACTCTGTCCGACTGTTATCGCAACTGCATCACGAAAATACAACTTTTCCATCGACCTCTTACCATACCCATAGGAAAAGGGGTTCGACAGAGCTACACAATACCGCCAAAGCTGTTCAATACCGCACCGCAGTGGATAATGAAGTCACTTGATTGGGATGAGAAAGGAATACGTATTGATAGAATATTCCTATCAAACCTTCGTTTTGCCGATCACATTGTCATCTTCTCAAGAAGTATTAGCGAAGCAGAGATGATGATCAACGTGCTCAACGGAGCGGGGAAGAGATCGAACTTAGTATAAATCAAGAGAAGACCCATTTCATGAAAAACCCATGGTGCGAAGACGAAAAAATTGAGTTGGATGGCTCTCACATTGCAGAGACCACCTCGTGCATCTACCTTGGGCGATCAATGAACATGGAAAACAACACTAAGGAGGAACTAGATAGAAGAAGGAGAGCAGCTTGGACCGCATTCGGGCCTCTCAAAGAAGCCACCGACCAACTGAAGGACTCGAAAATCCGCGCCCATCTCTTTGATTCTACGGTCCTCCCAGATCTCTGTTATGCTGCAGACACGTGGGTTGATACTTCAGCTACGTCGAGAATGCTTCGCATTACTCACAGAGCGCTTGAGCGATGCCTTTTGAAATATAGCCGGCACTCTCAATATCTAGCCGGAATGCGAAGCTCTGACCTTCGAAATCTGTCACATCTTCGAGATCCAGTAGAATATACATCGACAGCGAAACATAGATGGGCCGGTCACACGATGAGAAGAACAGACGACAGATGGACGAAAAGAACAGTAGAGTGGACTCCAAGAGTGTGCAATCGTCCCCTAAAACGACCACCTATACGTTGGGTAGACGTGTTCGTAAACAAGGTTAATCGGCTGTGGCCGCAGAGCGCTACCGTGCTCGAAGAAGACCACCACCATGGACTACGATTGCGAGAGAAAGGAAATCCAAGTAATATATCTTATATTGAAATGATTTTTTTTGCATCTGCCATTTGTAAACGTTCTCGAACTTTTCTTCGTGCGCTTTTGGTTTTTTTGTAGTTTAAGATACTTTCTTCACGAATTAACTGAGTTCTAGAGGAGTTAATTCTCCCTGGAGTCGTGCAATAGCCGTGGCAGGCATTGCCATGCGGTTTGGAAGAGGTCCACTTCTGCCAAACAAATCTGGTACCAGTCTCCCAACCTCATAGGACTGAGAGAGTTGGAGGTTTGAACCAACGGCTAGTAGGATTGACCGTGCGCTCAGTGAGCGGAACCACTTATTGCTGCGCTATCCGCTCCCTGATATTTCATTAAAAGCTGGAAGACATTGGCGGTCCTGACAGATAGATAGATAAAAATTAATAAATAGATAAAAATTAAAAGCGAGCGTGAAAGCGATGATCACCTCTCCTTCATAGGTTTGCATTTCCGAGTCGTACAAGAACAGATGTTTTCTGCCCACTTTTGCGTAGCCATTGAGGCGGCTGACATTCTTCTCTCTGAATAACAATTTTTAGATTTTATCTGCGTAAGGATAACGGAGATTTTTTAAGCAATGGGACAAAATGAATAAGAAGTGGACAAAGAGTTAAAAGTTGATCAGTCTCTAAGAGGTGTACCATGCACTGGAATCAGACTTCAATAAGTATCGCTAGGGCTGATTAAATGCATGCCTGACCTTTACGCTGATCTTTGTTGACCTGGAGGTGTATCAAAGTGTTTTCATCTACCGACCCCAGAGTGATTCCGGACTTGGTTGGCCAGTTCGCTAAATCGAACCAGTCACCGATCCAGTACATGTTGCCCTCTATCTCGAACTCTGACCCTACAAGCGCTCAACATTAGCAAATGTAGTGCATATATATCACCTGCTTTACCCATAACGGCCTCTGTTGTCAAATAACCCAAACATGCATTAGCGAAGTTTATTTGTCCCCGTCGAACACCAGAAATGTCAATTGGTTTCCATCTTTCAATTCCGCAGACACAAAAAGACACTAAAGTTCCAGATTGAGGGTTTATTTGGTTGCCATAGTGAGGATTTGTGTTGAATATCTTCTTAGCTTGAAAGATTCTGTTGAGGAGGTGAACCGCTTACCTTCCGTATTCGACATCTAAGAACACTTTGCAATCACCATGGCTTAGTAGAAGCATTTAGCGCGCTTTTTATAAACATCGAAGTTGAGTCAGTATTGAGTGATTTCACAGTTTATAGGCCCTTTTTCTGGGCGCGGGCGCGTGTGTGGCAGCGGTTGGAGGTTCCCTGCAATACACACATGGAATTGGTCCCCGCGCCCATGGCCCACCAAGCCTTCCGTACCTCCGGGGTCGGCAAATTGTTACCAGACTTGTTTAGAAGGATAGCAGCGCTGGTTCGATACGTCGGTAGGCCACCGCGAGTCATTGTAGAGGCCAGATATGCATTCAGTCACAACCAACGATGCTTAATGAAGTCGAATGCGTGGCGCATCTCTCAGGGATTGATCAACGCCGAGAGCTTTATCCTTCACCCTTTTATAGGCCTTTCTTCTTAATGGAAGTATGTCGCAGTCTGTTACGTGTATTCGAATCGAAATATGCAGTAGAAAAAAATTTTCGAAGAAGCGAAGTGGTAAATTTTGAAGCGCGTCAACGATTAAAACCACTCAGTGTACAAACGAAGCGTTCTGATGCGTTTCGTCAGTTTTTTGTAGCACTATCGACGTCAAAATGGAAGTAATAAAGTGTTTTCGTCAACAGAATCGTAACCATCTCGTGAATGTTATACCTTTTCATTTTCTGCCTACTACAATTCCGCGGGAGGGTACCAAGCGAAATACAACCACAACGTTGCTGAGATATTTGCAAAACTCTGGACCGCAGGTGTCTATGGTGGAGAACGAACGCGCTATTTTCCTTTCCGGGGAATAACGCGTTCACCACCACACTATGCGAGTCCTTTGTCTCGCCTGTCGCTCAGCTATTTCTATCGATCTTTGCCACAGCAATCACCCTCTGGGGCTGGGATTGATCTGGGGCGCCCAAATCGGCATAGAACCCAGTTAAGCTGAGGCTGTAGTTGAAATCACAATGTTATACCTTTTTATTTTCTGCGTACTATAATTTCGCGGCAGGGTACTAAGCGTAATACAACCCGGAGTCCAGAGTTTTGCAAATATCTCAGCAACGTTGTGGTTGCATCTCGTGAATCTTGGTGCATTAATGCTCTGGCTCAAACTCATCGCTGGAGGTTGGTTCGATTACAACCATAGGATCAATGCAGTGTCTATATCTATTTCATAGGATTGAGAGTGAGAGTGGAAGAAACGAATCAAGAATAGCGAGTGATGGTCCTATGTGAGAATGTGGGGTCGGGTATATGTGGATGTAAGCTGCAAATAATTTTGATGAAAACCTTGCAATCAAGTGATTAGAACTGCACAAGAAAGTGATCCGGTTCGTCTCCAACGAATAATCACCAAGTCAGCCTCATATGGAGAAAATAGCTACCAAACAGAATATCTAGATCCTACGACGAAGTCCATCCTGGTATATCCATGGCTGCCTTTTCACCAAAAACGACGGGAAAAAGGGCGTTTTAGGAGAAGTATGGTGCACTTCGTGTCAAATGCGCTAACGAATCCACAGAGCGCTTTTAACACTGGAAGGGAGCCAAGGACGAAAGGAGGGATTAATATTGCAGACGCTGAATTATTAGCGAGGGTTTATATGATACATCTTACCAATAAAAAAGGTTGGGATTCTTTGTGCAATGTTGGTAATCACAAAAACATGTAAGGGAGTCGTGCGTCTGGGCTGAAAGTAAAGTTAAATAGGCTTTTTTTAAAAACAAGATACATCTTGTTTAACGTCCTATTTCCTAGCTACTTTTTTACTGCGGAGTACTATCTCAGATACAACCACTGTGATGCTGGGATATTTGCAAAACGTGGACAGTGGGCCAGATTCGAACCGCCGAATACCCGCTCCGGGGACTCACGGGTTGGCCACTACACAACTGAGGCCCCAAGCCATATGTGCATCAAATGTTAACTATCTTTTCAAAAATAGCCAGAAAAAAATATCATACTACGAAGAGAACTAATAGAAGAAAAAGGAGCCAGACATTTCGACATCTACGGCGCAACTAACGACTTCTACTTGCAAGACTGATCAAAGCGTAATGAATCCTCATAAAAAACGATTCGGCTAAAGCAGCAGGGCCCTGTGACCGTTATTTCAACCTTCGTTCAATCTGTTTTTTCTAAAACCGTAAACAAACATGAAAAATGACTACTTACGTGTCGTACTCCCAACTGAGGTATAACGTGTGATCAGACAATATCAACTTCTCGCAGCAGGTTAGCGGCGATCGAAGTTGAATGGATTGAGCCGATAACTTAGCCAGCTCATCGATCGCTTGGTAGATCGCTGGCGACCTGAATGAAACTTTTGGTCTTTCTCAACATTCTCAACATAATATAGTCACAATGTTAACATTATGATTTCAACTACAGCCGCAGCTTAACTGGGTTCTATGCCGATTTGGGCGCCCCAGTCAATACCGCTGACGGGTGATTGCTGTGGCAAAGATCGATAGAAATAGTTGAGAGACAGGCGAAACGAAGGACCCGCATGGTGTGGTGGTGAACGCGTTACTCCCCGGAAAGGACAACAGCGCGTTCATTCCCCACCATAGACACCTGCGGTCCAGAGTTTTGCAAATATCTCAGCAACGTTGTGATAATATAGTCACTTTTTATTTACTGACTACTCTTTTTTATGGCAAGGTGTGATGCGAAATGCAACCACAATGTCTGCGGCGGGAATCGAACTCGCTATCACCTTTTGCAGAGGATAACGAGTACACCACCACACAATGGGGGCCATTCGCCTTTCTCTCAGCTAGTTTTCCTATCTACCAGTGCCATCAGCAATCACCAGTTAACGGAATTTATCTGGAGAGCACAAATCGGGATTGAACCCAGCTAAACTGAGGTTGTAGTTGAAATCACAATATTAATCTTTTATTTATTGTCCACTGCAATTTTTCATGGCGAGGTTTGATGTGAAATATAATCACAATGAGGTTGAAATATATGCAAAACTGTGGAGTGCTAGTGTCTGTGGTGGGGATTGAACACGCTTATTAAATTTTCAGAAATTTTTAATTGTCGTTTCCGGGAAGTAACGCCTTCACCACCACACTACGCGAATGTGAGTCCTTCGTTTCGAATTCCTCTCTGCCGTGTTTTAACCTATCTATTCTCGAAATATTAAAGTGGCTTTCTACAGTGATGATTCTGTGTATTTCCTCAAACTTTTGGTGATTCTACTACAAAATTCTGCTCTATGTGCCCACCACGGGTGTGCAAGAAGAACAAAGAGGAAGAAGAGGGATGTAAGAAGAAGGAAATAAATCCACACTAATCACGAAACGGATCTCGCTCATGCAAGGCACCTCGAGCCAGTTGGTAGCAAGGCTACGTGGCGCGTGCCCAGGTGGCCGATAGGGGGTTAATAGCGGGCCAAAAGCGACCCTTGCTTCTCTGAGACGCAGATGGGTCCAGGGGATCGGCTCCCTGTTTCTGCTGCGCCGATTTGGGATATACTTTATATATTTGCTAAGCGTATTCATGCATGCGTAAGTGGGTGGCTTCTCGCTTATGCGGATTGTATTCTACGAGTCAATTCGGCCAAAAGCCTACAATCGAGTGAGAGGGAAGTATATGAGAGGTGGTTAGGAGTCGCCTCCAACAAATAAACTCCACGTCCGCTCTGGGAGAGCCTGGCAAGCTACCCGTGAGTATACCCAGCCTCCACGTTCAGAGCCCAGCAAGCTATACGTGGGTATCAAAATGCTAAACACAGTAAAAAAAAAACGGGCCTCATTCTCCTGACCTCGAAGGAGCCTCCAATTTCGCAGCGTTGGGTAGGACGAGTACGGAGACGCTGCTAAAATATCAGGGCCAATGGAAGCTGCCTGGATCACGAAGAACTGTGGTGACGATCTGTACTTACAATGCACGTACACTTGCATCTGAGTCCGCGATTGAAGACTTGCTCATGCAAGCAAGAAGGATAAGGTACGACGTCATCGGCCTGGCCGAGACGAGACGACGCCACCCATTCAAGGCCGCTTATGACACCTCAGAAGCGCCGTTCCTCGGAATATGAGGAGTCGGCGGCGTCGGCGTTCTCGTCAACACCACTTTGTTCATGAACATCGATTCATTCGAACAGCTTACAACCGGAATCGGACGTTTATGATTAAAAAGATGTGGATCAATTCCGGCTTCGACAATCTTCGTCGCTTACGCGCCGACACCAGACTATGACGAAGAAAAGTCGAAGCGTTCTATATGGATATGGAGAGAAGTTCTACAGAGAAGATCATACATTTTTCAAGGTCAACGTTGGAGATTTCAACGCCAAGATTCGACCAAGAAGAACGTATGAAGAACATCATATTGGGACCCACGGACTAGAATGGAACGAACAGGGTGAGCGGCTGTCTGAGTTTATCATGACGAGCAAGACCATCCATGGTAACTCGCAATTCGAGAAGCCCAACCCTCTACGCTGGACGTGGGAGTCTCCCAATGGAGAGTACCATAACGAAATAGACCACATCATAGTAAATAAAAGGTTTTGCCTAACCGATGTTGTTCCAAAATTCTATACGGAAGCAGACCACCGCCTCCTTCGTGCGAGATTCCACCTCACGCAAAAACAGAAAAAGCCTCTAAATTCAAAAGGCGAAGTCCCAAAATCACTACGAACTGGAACTTATTCAACTCACTAGTCGGCTGCTTGGAGGATATCGTTGTCGATAACATCGACGAGGAATACGATGGGCTCATTCAACATCTTCACGTTAGCGCTATGAAAGCTGAGAGTTTGAAAGTTACCAAGAGAAGTCTGTCTCCAGAAACACTCGAGCTGATACGCCAGCGCGGAATAGCGCGAGTTGCGGGCAACCTCGAACTAACGTCCGAACTTGCAAAGCAATGCAGACAGGCGATAAAAGATGATCTTAAAGGCAGAAAAGCAGCAGTAATGGTCGAAAGACCGCTCTGTCTCACTTTCATCGATTTACAGAAGACCTTTGATTCAACTGAGATAGAAGCAGCCATAGAAATCCTTGAAAGTCATGGAGTTCCTACTCAGTACATAAAGATTCTTCGTGAGCTGTACAAAGATTTCACAACCAAGATATCACCTACCTTTTCGACTGAACGGTACATTCTTCAACGATATTAACATTGACGTCAAAAGAGGAGTTAGACAGGGCGATATCATCACACCAAAATTATGTACCGCCACCCTCCAGAACGTCATGCGAACATTAGAATGGGATAATATGGGAGTGAAAATCGATGGTCGGCAGTCACACCATCTTCGTTGTGCTGATGACATCGTCCTTATAACACCAAACATTAGCCAAGCGGAACGTATGCTTGACGACTTTGATAAAGCCTGCGGAAAGATTTGTCTTCGACTAAATCTCACAAAAACGATGTTCGTGAGGAACGGATTGGTTTTGTATGTCCCGTTCACGCTCAACGGGACGAATATGTCGGAATGCTCCAGTTATATCTATTTAGGTCGGGAAATCAATATGATGAACAACCTAGTTCCAGACCTGAGCAGAAGAAAACGAGGGGCTCGGGGAGCGTTCAAGAGCACCGAGGTTGTAGTGAAGAAAACAAAGAAAACCCGACTGCGCGCCTACCTTTTCGACTGAACGGTATTACCTGCTTTAACGTATGCGTCAGAAACCTGGTCGCTACGTAAGCAGGATGAAAGATCACTCAGCGTTATTGAACGCGCAGTCGAAAAGACGATTCTAGGAGTATCCCGTTTCACACAAGTAAGGGATGGAATCCGAAGCTCCGACCTGCGTCAACGATCAAAATCAAAGGTGCCGTTCTGTACGCCAAACAGTTGAAGTTAAGGTGGGCCGGACACGTAATGCGTATGAATGACAACCGATGGACAAGAGCCGTTAGTGACTGGATTCCTCGGAATGTCAAATGTACTGCAGGAAGACCACCGACCCGATTGCCAGAATTCTTCACGAAGAGCCTAGAAGAAAAATATGAAGTTCAATGAGCCCTTAAAAGCGAGTGGAACCCACTGGGCTACTCGTGCACGCGACAAGGAAAAATGGAAGATTTACTGGCGCCCGCTCGAGTCACTCGACTATCAACGGGACTACAGGTGACAGGCTATTTAATAAAACGAAAATAAGGATCCTTCACCGTCCTGGTACCAAACTAGTCGCGTGGTGGCAAATCTCACTCTCATCCGCTAGGGCAGCGACTGCCTGTGGTGACGACCAGGAGCAGAGTTTGGTTCGGCTAACCTCGGGACTCCAGGGATTCATGAAGGCTAAGCCAGCAAAGCTCCCAGAAAGTCGGAATTATGCTGGGGCCCACATAACCGATAAAAATGGACCATTCAAGTGTCCAAGCATTAACTATATGTTACTATGGTCTATCACACAAACACACCATTGTTACCACTTGAAGTGTTTTGCAACTTAGGGATCCTTATTTTAGTATTTTCTCTGCCCGCACACTCTATACGATAACTACTGGTCACAATAGCAATTAAAGTTGAAGTCATAATCGACTATCACCTAAATTTCTGGCTAGTGAACTGGTTCGGAAGATGGTTTTTCGTACATTTTTAAGTGCAGAATAGAGCTTTTGCAGACCAATTTCCAATGCAACATTTGGGTTCTAAAAGCTATCAATTGATAACAAAAGGGGTAGGAAAATAGTTTATGTACTAAAATGAACTACCGGAAAGATAACGAAATCTGTAGATGTTATACTAGCCACTCCCATAAAACCATCATGACCCTTATGTGTCACCCATCGCGAGAGTGTTAAAGAAACTGAATAAGGCATAAACACGAAAGATAACATCTGGAAGTTTAGGAACAAAATTATTATTCTACTAAAGCTCTTAAACAGCGGAAACAAAAATTCGTCCCACAAAATGGTGTTTCGCTATCTCGTGTGCCAGCATATACCTTGGATGAATTCTGTTTTACCTGCTTCGTAGATCTCGATGATTAGCCTCCATCTGGAACGCTACGAAGTTCCCATTAGCTAAGTGAAGGCTGTCCACAGAATGACGTTTATCGCGTTTGTATTTTGCAGCAGAACCTTTAAAACTAGGAGAGAAATCTCTAGAATACTATACATAAAAGCGTTTAACAACCCTATCAGTAACTGTGAAGTTGTCTTAACTACGAACAAGCCTTGATCAAACATGTCTACACTATCGGAAATTCTTCACAGTCAGAAAGAGTAGAAGGAAATGAAAACCTAAGCAATCAAATGCAATTTCGTCTTTACAGTAAAGCAAATCTACATGTCTCAGCTGCACTAATCGCATACTTTGTGAAGGTAGCAGCAAGAACAGGCTCTAGAACGGTGCGATCTGATGTGCTGAACTACAATGTAAGGCCACACCTATAGGTCGACGACCGCTAAAGCATTGCAGTACTGTCTCTTTCTTCATTTACGACCAGCTAGAACATCGTTAGTATCTTCATAACCTAATCGATCATTTAGAAGGGTATGAGTGCTTTTGAGGTAGGCAAACCAATGTCAGAATCGCTGGGAAGGATAAAGAAACTGATTTGCCACATCGGTTGGCTACCTGGAGTCATTGCGTAGACCGAATGAGCAATCTGTCACCTCTATGCCTTATGGAGTCGAACCACATCACCAGCATATTAATCAACACTAAAAACTTTATCCTTTACCTTTCGTATCCTCGATATCACTTATACGCGAACTACCGAAATTTGTTAGGGCGAAACGAATAAGAGTGAAACAACGTTGCATGATCAGGATCATAAGAAAAGAAAGACATGTACGAAAATAAGACTTTTTGTATAACAACAGCCATCTCAATAATGGATGACAGGACGACTAGCCGATATATCCTTCGTGAACCAAATAACAGCTACATTATCCGCTATTTCAAACTTAATCCACGTCGCTATGACCGTATACCTTAGACTACAACCTCTGTGAAAAAAAAACGGTAGAAACGAGAAAGAATGAATGCAAGAACTAGATTTTGCTAGATCAACTACAAACACGATTTGGTGTCCAAAAAGAGTAACACAACAGTGCCCACCTTTAACGAAAACAGTAATCCCAGGTGTAAAAAGAGCTCTAAGTGAAAACGATGAACATAAGAACTAATTACAAGATGAAACTAAAGAAAAGTGTCAGAACGGTAAAGGATCTTGCGCTAAGCGCCTAAAAATGTCTCGTTTATTTTGAAAACACTTACCAGTGATACATAGAAATGCGATAAGGAGCACAATTACAACAAAAGTTGACATTGCCACCATAACGATAAACCACCATGTCGTGTAAAATGGATCTTCTGGGATGAAAGCTAAAAACTGCTGTTAATAGCAAAGAACACATTACGACGATTCATGACAGCACTTTTGCCGCCGACTTAAACCATCTAATAAATTAAACTCTTCCTATTTAACCATGCTCTTCAGAAGCACAAAGCATCACCTGGAACAAACAGTTGTTCGCTTTCTGCGCTTGCCTTGCCAATTCCTAGCTCATTGCGAGCGAACACTCGAAACACATAGAAGCTTGAAGGTTCTAGTTCGCGATAACTGACCTGTAAGTTACCTTTGCTTACAAAGAATGCAATAAAAACGTCCACGATATTTCAAGACAGTACCCCAAAAACTTCAAAATCTCGTTCATTGGACCTAACAAATATCGATCACCCGTAATTCTTGTATACATGAAGATTAATAAGAGAAAATCTCTAAAAGAGGCTCAGAATCGAAAAGGTGTTTATTTGGCCTGATCGCTATCAGCAAAGGCACTAATAAAACACCGGCAGAGCGTTCTTATTAAATGTCTAGAATGCGTCGTTTTGTTATTCAGCAATCGCGAGGTTTTTAAACAGCATACATTTACTTCCATAGAGAAACACAATACAATACAACACTGACTGACGTTTCGGCAGTATCGCCTTCTTCAGAGCCTGGAAGGGCATACTGATATACAATCTACTAGGCCAAACGCTTCAATAACACTTACAAAAAGACAGAAAACTCTATGGTTACAGCCGGTCAAGAGGCTACTCTACGTCGTCAGTTAGCTCGTAACCGCCTGTATGATCGTCTATGTGAAACAACAAATTGCGTAATTTGCCCTTACGGCAGGGACGGTGATTGCATGAGTTCAGGTACGATGTAACTGATCTCTTGTAACAATTGCGGAGATGAATATATTGGCGAAACGGACAGACCTTTGTATATCCGTATAAAAGAACACCTAGATGGCAAACGAAAACAAGGACGAAGCACCCCACTAGGCACGCATAGGATACAAAAGCATAGCGGAGACTAAAAGAACAGCGCGAAAACTTCTTGAGGCCTTTTGGATAGATGCCAAAAACCCTACAATGACATGGATGAATGCGACCTGATCCCGTTTGTTTGCATTAATTTCTGATGTGGGATGATGTAGTCACCAACCATATGCGACTATAATCAGCTGTTCTAATCTTCCTCATTGGAAGAAACTTAAAAAGCTGTGAGTTTTTCGAGAAGTTCTTGATCATGTAATTACCATAGTTTTTCGTCTTTTTGTAAGTGTTACCGAAGCGTTTGGCCTAGTAGATTCTATATCAGTATACCCTTCAAGGCTCAGAAGGCGATACCGCCGAAACGTCAGCTACTGCTGTATTGTATTGTGTTTTTCTATGGAAGTAAATGTATACTGTTTAAAAACCTCGCGATTGCTGAACAACAAAACGACGCCTTCATATGCCAATGCCGAGATTAATAGAAAGTCGATCCTGGGAACTAAACGTCTAGATATAAATGAAGTTCAAAAGATCGACTTTCCATAAACTTCGGCATAGTAATCGATATATCCGTATATATGATCTTACGAACTGCACTTTTCTTAGTAGATGCGAGGCTAGTACAGGTGTTCTTATTGTTGCTGTTGTCTTTGTTCAATGGCCGACGTTTCGAAGAATTCGCTTTCCTTAGAGCTTTGCCGTTCATCCCTCGTGAACAGAACACAGGTGTTCCAACGACAATGCTCTGAGGAAGGCGAAAACCACGAAACGTCAGCCCTTGAATAAAGACAGCAACAACAACAATAAAAACATCTGTCCCAAGCTCGCGTCGGCTAAAAAAGGGCAGTTCGTAGAAACATATGTACAGATAAATGAGGCTTTTAAAACAGTTAGCTAAGGTAACAGTGATAATCGGAAAAAGATAAATGAAACAGACCTCATGCTGTTGCCCAGTACCTTCAACCACCCTTAGTGTCACCCATATACCATGAATATGCGTGGGTCGCCCAACAGAACGCTTATTTGGTTTTTTAAATTGAACATCACTGACATCCTGAAACATAGTTATGATAACTGCTACTTACAGATTACATTAACAAAATTATGACAAAGTGTAAGATGGTAGTGCTCAATTTGTTAAGAGAGTTCCTCAAATTTTATTTCGGCATACCGGCGTGGTTTGAGTCGTAAGCAATAATGAAGTCCACTCACTACCCATATTACCATATCCAAAATCTAGCGAAAGATACGCATTAACAACTGCACACGCGTTCGGATAAATGGAGTATTGTACCCAGCACTCGTCGACAGTGCGTATTGATATCAATGCACGGGCGATTGAAGATAATTAAGCTGCCCAACTTCAAACAAATACATACTTTGTCGGATAAAGAAACTTACGAATCAAAACAATAAGCACCAGAATCTAACGATATTTGTCAACAAGACACAAGTTTTCTTATTACACAATAACGAAAACTTGAACATGTGGAGCTCACGAGTTGCTTTCTACAGCTTTTGTTGTCAGAAAGTTGTCAGAAAATGCGTCCTAAGCAAGCGAGATTTTATCCAACAGGATAAGATGATGTTGCGGAACATATCGACGTTCATGGTTGCCTCATATATGTTAGAAATTTTTAGAGCTTCAGTAGAGTCAAAACAAAAATAAATAATATCTTATAGGAAAAACAGCTTTCAAGCACTTCATTTTCGAAGCTTCGAGAGCTACAGTAAACCAAGTTGTCGCTGTTATGGAATAAATAGCTTTGCATTATACTCCAAAGATGTGTATATTATATTAACATTAATTTCAATTGATAACGTTTACTTATGGTACGAAAATATGCAGTTTACAGGATAAAGTTTTCGAAAAAAAAAAGGACTCATATAAGAGTCATACTGTCCTCAACGTGCCAGGTCTTGATCCTTTATCAAATCTCATTCAGCCTAGCGAAAACTTGAAAGAATCACCTTCGATACCAGTTTAGCCTGAATCAAATGTCCAATAATGTCTTCCCTTTTATCATCTTTCCACTCCAACGTTACAGACGACGGGCCAGGTGTTAGCGATAAACGCCTTGGTGCAGGTGGGCCACCTGCATAATACAACATAAGAGACAATTCATGCACTTTGGGACGAAGGAAATTCATTGGCTTTGATAATGACGCCTTGTATTCTGAACATATGAACATAAAAAACATTCACAGAAAACCTTATGGTGCAGAACAACAGCAACTACAACACCACCTTAAAAAAACGACCAAATTTTTTAGGGAAAGTGCACAAATGAATGCGTGAAAATGGGTTTCGAAGTTTGCATTACGTTGAACTTTTTCTCTTTAAAAGTTGACCTAGAATATAAATGGATATGAAACCGAAATCTAATGTAGAAAAAAAAACTTGGACATCAGATGGAACAAGCACCAGGTCAAGTGGAACGCGTTCACAGGGAAATGGCGCATCCATCAATGTGAATATTCAAAGACTGGGAAAAGGTTATAAGTGAAGCAAGAATGGCTTGGTAACTCATTCACAAATGTTTTCTTCTGAGAGCGTAACCTCAAACCAGCACGGTTCAAATTACTTTGATTCGACGTGACTATACTCGAGCAATAAAACCACAACAAAACCTCGCAATACTTTAAAAACAGAGTTCAGAAAACTAATTCTACGGCTTACCAGGATTTGGCCCCAATGTTACATTGCCTGTAACCTCTGTCCCTCTACCGGCAGACGTTTCAGCCCAAATTGCGAAGAAATAGGTGACACCCTCTTCTAAATTTGTCGCCGGATAGAATGTTTGCTGCGTCCGAGATTGTACCTCTTTTTTGAACTCCTCCTGGAAACAGGAGGTCACATGGCATAGAATCATCACTAAAATGTAAGACAAAAAAGTGGAAACGAGAAAAATCATGAAACGAATGTTATTGGTATTCTTCGATAAATTCGCGTTAGATTCCTCTTGTAATTTTTAAAAATCACTTATCCAATGAACATCTTTTAGAGCTTATAATGACTACTGGATTAACAAATCACCACTTTCTCCTTTCCAGCCGCCCTGAACTAATTTGTCAACATCGGGGAAGGGTAGACGTTTGCCTAACCTTTGGTCAAAGAAACTATACACGTGCAGAAATACGGAGTCATTATATACTAAACATTATTTTCAACACCCTTCGCGCGGTTCGCATTCTACTGCATTCGGCTCGATGCAACAACGAACACCCTCGTCGTAAGGACAACCGTGGACCATTGATTCGGTTCACTCCAGCTCTGTAGAAGAGGAAGACGTCGAAACATTAGCCGAATAGCACTTCTACACCAACAACGTCTTATCCTAGCAATCTTAGAAAATACACTGAAAAATGACAAAATAAACTGAACACAAACACACAAAGCCCTCAGAAAGGGTAATGGCCGCTTCGATCCCCACCGCAGACACCTGCCATCCGAAGTTTGCAACTATCTGAGCATCAACGTGGTTGCATCTAACCCAATACCCTGCCGTAAAAAAAGAATAGGCAGCAAATAAAAAGCACTACATATTGAACATTATTTGTGCACACGACATGAAAAATAACAAAATTTCATGCAAACATGTTTCGCTCATATGAGAGATCGTTTGAAATGGTAAATCGTGAGATTACATTGGATGTACATCCCCAGGTAGCATTTAGTGAGTTAAATACAAGGTTGAGAGAGCATTTTCATTTCAGAAGTGGATACACATAAAAGATATATCATATTTATAAAAATCTAAGTGGGTCTGTTCTCCTTTATGTGGATTCCGCTCATTGTTGATTATAACAAAAATCTGCAATGAAGTGACATGGAAGTAAAGGCGAGTGAGCGTCACGCCCAACAAGGAAATTCCACAACCGCTCTCGATGACCCAGCTATCTGTGCGTAAGCATAACAGTAACGCCTGGTCAGCAACTACAGCATCTTCTCGCGAAAAAATGGGCAGTAGGAAATTAAGGGAAACGCACGAATTGCGACGCTGTCCCTGTCCTAAGAGACAGTATACAGTGAGAGGCTCTAGTGTCGACGAATAGGTGCTTCACTGATATCCACTCCAGTCATCGCGTGATTGATAGACAATATAGATTATAAATACGTTGTTTCAGAGTTACCTTCATTTTGAAAGTACGGTAGTTCACGATATAGCCAGTGATCACGCCATTCGGTTCCACTGGTGGTTTCCATGAGACGTGGACCTGCGTGGATTAATAATAATGCAAAACCAACGTTAATATGGTACAAAAAAAACGACAAGCTCACTGAGTCGAGCAAAATGTCGGAGAATTTCAATGCTCCCACTGTTCCTGGGACATCTTCTAACGTTCGCATCCGAACTTGCGCTACATTACCTTCTCCGGCACGATTATATGGAGTAATAGAAATCTGGAACCGTCTTTTATTACGGCATAAACAAACCCGTAACGAAGACTATAGAACCATAAACAATGAGTAGAACTATTAACGAGGAAGCAAATAAACCTGATATTCAGTGTATTTCCGAAGGTCGGTGATTATACAGCTGTTATTTTCCACAACCATTAACTCCTCTTCATGACTCGACGGTGATAATACAGAAGTCACAGGTACAAATCGAACCTAAGAGACAAAACTATGAAATGAAGTCACAAATTACACTCACTTTTCACAGCCTGTACGACAACAGACAATTCAAAGAAAGGAATCTATCGCTAGCATAAGACCACGCGCTCGGTCATGTTCTCCAAGAGGGATAGAAAAGATTTTCGAAGTTATCGCCAAATACGAAGATAAACTTGTCACGAATAACAGGAGTTTTGAGCATGCAGAACGCTCAATGAAATCCTGCTATATGCGCAACATGGTTTGAAGCTGTCGTGAGTATACTACCTGCCCATATTCTAATGCCTGAAGAGTACATGAAAGCGCTTGACCGAGTGGAAACGTCCTCTAAAAAAGAGCTCTCGACAATTGCTCTCTTCACAGCCTAACATTACATCTTGTCCATCGCTTCCTAAGCATCGCCATAGAAAATTGACACAACCAAGACATTATCTTGTCGAAGGCGCCTCTCTGTATAAGGAAGCCGGTACGATTAGTTGTAAACAGCACTGGGCTGGCTAGGAAGTTATTGTAAAGATCTTGCTTTTCTAGACGACACCATCGGGTTTTCAAGAAGCATCACTGAAGTAGAGGCTATATCCAAAAAACTCAGCCAAGTGAAGTACAGGATAAAACTGCAAACAAATCAAAACACAAACCAATTTAAAGATTTAAGATTTTCATGTTGTAGTATGTAATATGTAGAAGGATGTCTCGTTTTTTAACAGACCATATATCGCTTGCACCGAAAGTGTTTTATGAGATTTTCAAAGAATCCAAGAAGCAATCGATGTGCCCAAACCTCCAAGCTCATCTGTTTGACTCAATAGTTTTCTCATGCCAAAATGTCTAACGTACAACCGGGCACACGCCACACTGAAGGAGATTACGCAGTTCAAACATTTGAAAAATACGCCTTCGAGTACAGAACATAGATAGAAAAGATAACCACAAATAGATGAAAAGAGCAGAATGGATTCAGAAGTCTTTAAAAGCCACAATACGAACACGACTGCGTTTGTATCTGTCAACAAACTGTATCCTCAACCGCAAACGATTCACAGATCACGGGAGAGTACTCGCGAATGTTATCATGCTCAGGAGACATCACTTCCATATATGCATACATGGACCACCATAGTACTCAAGCATCTAGGTATTTCAACACTAAGAGTCAGAACGAACTTTATTATTACCACTGAGTTAACGAAGCTCTAGATGTATCTGTAGACAAAAACTCAAGTAAAAAAAACACAAAAACATGGCCGCGGTGTTTACAGATGAGGGAAGATTATTACTGGAACGATCAGAAAAGCTAGCGCAATATTTCACCCTGTTACTTGGAGAACTCAAAGGAAGAAGAACCAAAAATGTTGGTTTCCAAAAAAAAAACCACTGAGTAGTCGCAGCGAAGCCCATCCATAAGGATTTTCGGCCTTCTGTATAAAATTGCAAACGAGTCCAACCGGAGAATCTGCACAACTCATTACACTTACTTATTATTACTACAGCTTATTACCTATAACTTATTACAACAAAACATAAATATTTCTACGCAAGTATAACACAAAACAGAGGTAAGCCAGAGTGGTAATTTAACAAATCGTCATTGAAGAACTTTATTTTATGGAAAAAACCTCTTAATCACCTTGAAACCAGTGATTGCCTCGTCTTCGTTCACCGACCACGGATCCCACCTAACAGACAATGAAGTGGAAGAAAGAGGATCCACGATCACGTTTGAAACACTCCTTAAAAATAAACTGTTATATGCGCAATAAACCACCAGCACATTCATGACGACAGTTTATCGGTGGTTTTCTGATAACTTCCCAATAACTGGAGTATTTTAGGACCTGAAAACTCATACAAGAAAAAAACATTACTCTTTTTTTAAAGTTGTTTAAAATTCAACCGTGAGCAGCTATAAATAGTAACAAACGACTCTTAATGCAAGTCAACAATTTTGAAGCCGACAGTCATTTAACCTCGGTAATGAAATAATCAACATGTTTTTAAACTGTTGAGCTTACACGACGTTGATTAAGGTATTTATTTCGCCTAACGTTTCCACGGTTTCGTTTTCATCACAGCAGATAATCTGAGTCGATGGTCTACAGTTGTTCGTGTTCTCCAGGTGACGCCTTCGTCGCAGATCGAGCTGGATCTTCCTCAGTGGAGCATCTCTCTCGAATGAGCCATACTCATCCGACGATGCTCTTTTAAACAGGGCGGTTATACTGTGGACCATCCACTCTTAATGTAGTTCTCACAACGGTCCACATTTATGATGCGTTTGCGATCCGGTGGACTAACCCCGCTCGTTATTGGTTCAGACGAACTATAAGCCTCGCCGAAAAAGCAAGAAAAACCTTATAGGTTCTGAGAAATCAAAATTTCATACTGATGGAATAAATATACTAGAACTTTTAGATCATAGTGACTTTTATTTCAACTAACAAAATCTGCCCTGAGCTAAGATATCTTTCTATAAAGTTGAAAACTAATTTTAATCATCAATGCATTGAAGTCAATAGATGCGGTGTTGATTGGGATGGAAGTTCGCAATCTATAGCGTCAACAAACTAGTGAGCCTTCTTATACAAATAAAATAATACGGAGTAAAGTGAAAACGACTAACTAACTTTTTCGGAATGGAATACCCAACATAGATGAAAATAGGTGATGAGAACGGCCCATTTCCTTCCGAGTTAAATGCGCTCATTCGAATTATGTAGTGCCGAAAACTTAACAGAGGAAAAATTGAAATCATTTACTCATCAACAGTTGTTATAAAACTGCTTAAAAACAAAATTGCAAACAACATAGGGAAATTTTTTAGTACCTTGCCAAGTTATGTAGCAAATGATGTGATTTCACAGGCCATGTGCTATTCGGTGGAATTTCAATAGTAGCCCACGTATCGTTATCTACTGACAACAGATACTCTTGGAAGGCTATATGGTAACCGATGGCATCCGCATTCCATGTTTCTCTGAAAAGCTACTATTTCTATTCACCCAGTCCTACTTAACATAAGAAAACATTGGAAAAGGAATGCAAAGAATTCAATGCACAGATCACAAAGAGTAATGGCGTCCCATAATTGGAATCGTTAAAAAGATAAAGTATAAAGCACTCTGCGTTGATCAATCTCCGAGGTATGTGCCATGCATTCGACTTGGGCGTGCGGATCGATCCCATGTGCATTGCGGAGCGCTTCCGACCACTGCGCTACAAGCGCCCTTTAGAAATCGCTAGAACCAACAGATTTTTGCCGGCAAGGCACAAATGTCTTATTCTATCAAGATAAAATTCCAATTTTCCATAACCCAAAAACCTCCTTTCTTTTTATTGTTAAGATTTTTCATCGAGCATCGAAGCGATTGAACTCCATCCACCATGACTCGATGGTTTGCCCGAATGAGTTCTTGATGTTTGCATTAAAGAAATGAGACATTTAAGGCCCTTTCGGAATTTTTCCAAAATCCGTTTTCCAGGCAAGTACGAAATTTAAATGAAGATTTCGGAATAACAGCGATACTCTTACAGAGATAGAGAATCTCTGTAAATCGGCCAAGTTCCCAACTCCTCAGCTCGTATAATTGTCGGAAAATAGTCGGCAATTGTTTAAAAACTGGAACGATCACGAAAACAATTATCTGGTAAACAATTATATGTTAACAGATTCGGAACAGCGCCGGGTTTTCTACAACTGTCTACAACCATTCGACAACTAACGTACACGAAAAATTGAGATTTTCGAGAATTTGCCCTACTTATAGAAGACTCGTTCACCTACTCACTACCATCAATTAAAATTTTTAGGACCTAAAAACCGAAGAAAACTAAAATAGATATTGGCAACAAATACTGAAACTGCGCATCATAATGACGCATGTGAAGACCCCAATGAGACAAGGCCTACAAAATAAAAGCTGTTTAATCGCTTCCTTACGCGAGATATGAGCCCCAACAAAATAAAGTGAAAAAATCTTTTGAGGACAAAACATAGAATTTCACCATTTCAGAATAAAAATAAAGTGACGAGTTCTTCGACAAGTAGACTTTAAGGTTTGCATTTAAAACACAGGCCACTTATGAGCCAATATGACTCAGACGGTAGCGAGTACAGTAAGAATCCTGTTGAACATCAAGCAAATAGGTTCAAAGAGTCAATATAACAATTTTAATTCTAGAAAAAATATGCGCAGAATTAAAAGGGTTTAATAAACGTGTATACAGCATCTGGTTCCACGTAGCATTAACCTCCTTACTCAGAATAGCGAGGAAAAAATGATCAAACTCTAACTAATACATAGACCTCGTAATCTCCACACTGCAAGATTTTCAACAGCTTTTATTTACAACAAATTAGAGTAAATTACTAACCTAACCAAAAAAGCTAACCGCGGAATACATTGACTTGACAAGAGACCTCTTAACTCAAAATACTAGGACAAAAATGGTAGAACTCTAATCAATATGTGGACCACAGGACTACCAGACTGACAAATTTTCAATACCTTTTATTTACAACAAATTAAAATAAACTACTAACTTAACCCACAAAAGCTAATTTCCCAATAACTGACCTTTGAGGAGTAGTCCACTGTAACAGAAGACTTGTTGAGTCGTATGGTGATCCTAATAACGATGTCGGAGCTGTAGATGGTTGGGCAGGCAATGTTTGCATCCATTCCGACTCGGCTGACCAGACTGATTGCGATGTATCGCCGAGGAAACGAATACGAAAGCGATAGTCCGAATTTGGTAAGAGCCTATTTGAATAGTTGTAGTTTTCAGAAAGGCAAAGTTTATAAAAATAACCACTAGACAGATTTAAGTGTGCTTAAAATATTCGAAATCACATGTGATACGGGCTACCTCGAAACGACCACACCGCTCTTCCATCCAGCTATGACTTTGTCCAAAGCGATCCAATCATCAGTATTTGACTTTTGGTATTCAACCTATAGATACGGTAGGAAATAGAAAAGATTTAAGTACCTGTAAGAAAACTGTTTCGATACCTGTACAAATCTAACAGGAGTCCCATCACCCTTTTGGAAATTGTCGTCGTCCCATCTGATGGCAATTTTGTCTGCTTCATACCTAGCACTGCCATTTCGAATAGGTACAGGTGGATTTTGTACAGGTTCTAAGTTTGAAGGAAGTGTTTGAATTAGAACTGAACTTTAGTTTTGTGCAAAATAATCTCTAGTAAGGAATAGTAAATCCCTAATAGGATTTCCAGAAACTTTAAACTAGTGAGACTATTTTCACCTCTCACAGAATTCGTCACTACTTGCACTACAGATTCAGGTCCAACTCCAACAGAGTTCTCGGCTTGTACAGCAAAAGTGTATTGTTGATTTGCCTCTAAGCCTAAAGCCAAGAAGTAACCGTACACTAGAAAAATAAATATTTAAGCAAATTTCGGCAGTCAAGTGAATATACGAGATTAAAGAGGTGTCACCGTTCGCTGTGAAAAACAAAAGAGTCGATGACAATGGGGCTCTGATTGCGGTGGCTCGATCTTCGGTTGATTTCCAGTAGGACACATGATACGACTACAAATATATTAAAGACAATATCATAGTCTACACAGTTGTAAATCCAAATTTTTCAACTTCATTAACTTAACGAGTGTAACAACTGTAGTGTTGCTTTCGTAAAAACTGGTTCATGATACAACTTCTTAACTTTAATCACCTTTATCTTTCCATTTGGATTCTCTGGTGGCGTCCACTTAAGTCTCACTTCAGCCTCACTAATCAAAGAGAATGCGACGCCAGTTGGTGCCTCTGGCACTAAAAATATGAGTGAAAGTACATTAAAAATGCCTACTTATCTTTTAACTATTTGCAAAAATATTACTGATTAAGAGAAGCGTGCATGGGCGTGTGTAGCGCAGTGGTCGGAGGCACCATGCAATACACATGGGATTGATCCCTGCTCCCCAAGTTCACCAAGTTCCCCATCCTTCCCGCGTCGGCAAATTTGCTACCAGACATGTCTGGGAGGATTGCAGCACTAACTCGACGCCCCGGTAGGCCACCGCGAGTCATTGTAAAGGCCAGATATGCATTCAATCACATCCAAACGATGCTTAATGAAGTCGAATGCACGGCGCATTCCTCAGGGACAAATTAATGCCGAGGCCTTTATCCTTTTTATCCTTTAACAAATGCGTGGTAGTAACTGTGGCAATAAACTATGATCAAACCAAACGAAACGGAATGTAGGGTAACAGACCATCATCAGGAGTGTGCACCACTGCTGGAACTCTATTCTCAGGACCGCAACCGACGATTGTGCACGCTGAAGCGAAAACAAAGTAGCTGGTGAACGCGCGCAATCCGGTGACCTTAATTCACCAGATCAATCACCAACCGATTTCTCCCAAATCGTTTCAAGAGAAGATTTTCTCAAACTACAATGCTGTTTCGCCGCTATACAAAAAATAAATACACATTTACAACGAATAATCTCGTTTTCTGTTCAGCAAAATTATGTTGCAAAAGTAATAAGTACATGCCAAAACCTATTTTGAAAACGATAACGAAATGTTTAATGTAAGAAAATGAGTTCTCATAACAGGATACGTGTTTCACCCACCGTCTTTGAGAGTACTGCACCACCCAAAACACTGAATGTATGTGTTCCATCCACTCTTAGCCACTCCTGTTCTGGCTCGAGACGAATCTAAACAACGAATTTACGAAATAAAACATTTTAAACCTCATGTAGCAGCTTCAACTTCAGCTTAATTGGGTTCAATGCCGATTTGTGCTCCCTAGATCAATCCCGCTGACGGGTGATTGCTAAACCACAAAGAAACGGAAAACTGTTACAGCTGAAAGTAAAAGCCACATCACCTGCCAAAACATAACGAAGAACTCTCAAGTAATTACAGAACTTAATTTCGATTCTTTATACTCTTCCTGAGTAAACATGAGGTGTTACAAAACCTCTAAAAGCAAGCAAAGAAAATACTAAACCAAGATTGCCAAGATCGTATAATTTGCGTGACGGGAGAAAGGGTGACTGCATAAATTTCGCCTTCTTCAGAGCCTGGACGTATTTTATACAAGAATACGTCAATTATTCGATGGAAAAAAGGCTACAGCATCAATAAAGATCAAACTTTTAAATAGACGCCATATAGATCAGAAAAGCTACCCAACGTGATGTTACGTGCGGAACTGGTCCAAGCGTTGTTCACGTGGGGTCGTGAGCAAGAAACGCCCCGGGGTCAAAATATCATTTTGAAATAGGGCGCCAGGTCACGCGTGATGGTGAGGCATCCCGTCTTTTCGGTTCGTCTTTGGATTTTTGAAATTTATCCAAAACGCTTCAAGAGTTTTGCGAGTTGATGCTTTCGATTCCTGCGCTACAATCCGCACATTCACTTCAAAATCATCGCCGTTGTGCTTTTGTGCCCTATGCATAACTAGAGGAGTGTTTAGACGGATTTTAGCTTTTCCATTTAGATGTTCTTTTATGCGGACACAAAGTGGTCTACCCGTTTCCCCAATATATTCCTCGCCGCATGCGTTACATGAGATCAAGTATATTATACCTAAACTCATGCAATCCCCGTCTCTCCCGTTAGGACAGATCATACAGTTTTCTAAGCTGCACAAACGATCATAGAGACGGTTTCGAACTAACTGGTGGCGTACTGTATTGGATGGAATGTCAATAATCGTTACATAATTTCATTTTTCATAATTTTTTTCATTTCGGGGATTCCACATGAACTACGTGTGGGCCAGTCCCGCACGTAAAAGGTCGGTGATCGAGAACTCGAGCTTCCACCTTAGCCATGAAAGCGACAGGAAGGCTTGGTGCCTAAAACGCTGTCCCATGGCGAACTCTCCAATTTGGGGAATATTCAGCTAGTTCGCAACCGTCTCTATGATCGTTTGTGCAGCTCAGAAAACTGCATGATCTGTCCTAATGGGAAAAACGGAGATTGCATGAGTTCAGGTACAATGTGCTTGATTTCGTGTAAGGTATGCGATGACGAATACAGTAGACCGGTTTTGTGTCCGCATAAAAGAACGCCTAGACGGGAAAGTCAGAATTCATCAAAGCACTCCTCTAGGTACACACTGGGCACAAAAGCACAATGGAGATGATTTTGAAGTAACTGTGCAGATCACAGCGCAGGAATCGAAAACACCAACAACGCGCAAGACTCTTGAGGTGTTTTGAATAAATTTCAAAAATCCAAAGGCGAACTGGAAAGACGAATGCCTCACTATCGCACGTGACGGTCTAATTTCGAAATGATTTTTTGACACCCTTAGGAGGTCTCGCTCGCCGTCCCGCGTGAAGAAGACGTGGGTAATCCCACTCGTGGTGAGTAGCTCTTGATCAATATGGCGTTTCTTTGTATGTTAGATTTTCACTAATACTTTGGTTCTTTTCCACCGAATAAATAAACTATTTTTGTACAAAATATGTCCATGCTATGAGGTAGACTAAATCGCCGAAACGTCAGCCATTGACCAAAAACATCAACAACAACGGCAACGACAACAACAACGACTACGAAAACCTATAGCAACCTCGCATCAGCTAAACACGATCAGTTTATAAGATCATATAAATAAATATATTAACTATCTATGACGAGGTTGACAGAAAGTCGGTCTTTTGAGTTACTAAGAGATGTTCCAGCAAAACATTTCCGACTATTGAGACAAAAATCGTCTTAATGCGAGAAACGATCCACTTTCTACGGCGCTGCTCAAAACATCGAATCATTCCGAATTAATTCCAAGAATCCGAAAATGAACTATAGAGAGGAATACCTGGCTTTCACATGTGATCTCATACACTACTTAAGATTGCTATTTTATTTGTAAGAAACACATTACGCTTCCATGTGAATTCTGTGCCGTTGGTTTTCACAAAAACATGTGACGTAATCAGTGGAAGACTTACAGAAAGCGGTGAGTGTTTTAAGAAGTTGCTTTGGTTTCAAAGCGATTGAAATATTGGTTTCGTGTTTTTTCTGTTTTGGTTATGGAAGTGTTTTGCTGAGTAGACTGCGATCAACTTGACCTTTCCAAGCTCTGAAGAAGAGAAAATCCGCTGAAACGTCAGCTTTTCCGTCAATGAAGAATAGAGTAACACTTCGTGTTTGCTCAACAAGAGTGTTAAGTATTAGTGGATGAATGCCGAGGTTAATACGAAGTCGGTAATGGGAATAAATTTTGACTGTTTGATAGACGCAGACTACCAGTATTCAAAAGCACATTTGCGATGCAGTAGTGCTTCCCGTGTGCACTAATTCCAAACAAAGTATAGCCCCTCATCCTGAGTGATAAATCTGTTTACACTAATTAAATCTCCTCACTTACCACATAACTGCGGACATTCCCATTGACTAGACCTTCGTCTACCAGATCCCATTGTACTACTAAACCACCTTTCTTATCTAAGTCAGCTCGAACATTACGTGGTGCACCAGATGGAATATCTTCGTAGGTTCTAAACATTACTACAGGATTAGCAGGTCGACAAAATCGTTCAAGTTACAAAAACCACCCACTTTGTCTCAGATGCACCGGATGATGCACTTCGTCCAAACATATTTTCGGCGAATAGTTGTACCTCATACGCAGTAAAAGGTCGTAAGTCTCGGAGAACGAAATCACTTGCACGCAGTGAAGGTATTCGAATTTCATGCTGAACAGAATTTCGGATACCCCAACATAACCCATGTTTTTGTGAAATTCAAAAAAATTTGCCCAGAGAATCCGTGATTGCCATTTTAGTTGTGACACTTCTCAAAAAAGATTTAAATTTCGACCCAAATCCTCTATGGCTAGAACCTCACAATTTGCAGGAAAACTTGCTCCTAAATCAATACATGTGCTTAGAATCACCCAATAACTAGTGCCAGCCTTTCTGTAAAGTATAAGGTATCCTTTCGGTTGCCCATTCCACTGGTTCGCCAACAATGGTGTCCATGATAACGCTAGTGATTTCGAAGAAAGAGGCTCTGCGAATAAACGTGAAGTTGGGGTCTCCGGATTCGTCTGCTTTGTCTAAATCATAAAGCGTTAGAGCTGGAGATTCTCGGAAATACGATAAAGTATTTGCAACTTTTATTTGGAACTCAGTCCTAGACTATAAATATATTGTCCCTGCTATGAAAGGCTTTCGTAGAAACTCACAAATGGTTCAAACAAAGATAATCATGAACTTCCCATGTCTCAGTGATAATGAAATCCAATAATTTGTTGAAAGAAAGGTGACGCAGTGATAAAAAAACGGGATAGGAAAGAGGAGACTTCTACAATATTTTTCAAAAACACTCACTATCGGCTCTACCCTACCTCAAACGCTACTGAAGGTTCACTAGGAGCTCCGCGCCCTTTTATATTTTCTGCAATAAGACGAAGTTGATATCGAGTAAATGGTCGAAGTCCGTTGACCGAAAATGAACGCGCTTTGGGAGCACTGAAAAAAAGATTTCCACGTAAAGTGATATCACTTTCGAAATCCTATCCTAAATAAGAAGCATATGGTTTAAGTTTGATAATACTCTTATCATCAATTTCATCTAAGAATAAGCACAATAATGTGAAAGCATGACACTCACCTTACATTATAAATAACTTTGAAAACACTAGAGTCAGCTATTTTTGCCTCAACAATCCACTGCCGGATAGCTGAATGTCCATCGAATCCGGGAACGAAATTCAGCTGTACCGATCTTGCACGTATCTCGGACACGGTGAGAGCGCTCGGTCGACCAGGTATTTCTTAACAAGAAATCTCAACGCACATCAACAAAAACCACCAAAGGGAAAGACATAGGTGAACATATTCGAAAACTTTCGAGAAGATTCACCAGGTGGAACGCCTGACTCGAACTTCGTTTCTTCACGTGGGCCATCGCCTTTCACAGTGGACGCCATAACATCAATCTAGGAAAAAATAAATACGTTTGTCGTATCAATAATGCATTTCGTAGCAGCAGTTCTAACGCCATACCACCAATTGATCAATAGTCTAAAGAAGGCAATAATGGAGATATTCAAGAATATTAGTGGAACCACTTCCCCACCGTGTGACTTATTCTAAAAGCGCACATGTGCTTTACTGACAATTCGGATCATCGGATCTGATGAAGACGAAGACGTCGAAACGTTAGCCGAATAAAGATTGACCTCGGGTAAACCTATCAAAGGAAGAATACATATTGACTTGCCATACCGAGACTAAGTGAAAGTCGGTTTTGAAATACTCTGAATAGAGCCGCAATCGTGCTGAGATATAAGAAAACTCTAGACCTCATGTGTCTGCGACGGGAAACGAATGCGCTATTACCCGGGGCTAACGCGTTCACCACCACACTATGTGCGTCCTTCATTTCGCCTTTCTCTCAGCTAGTTTTCTATCTACCTTGAATATCTCTATCTATCTACTCTAAATAGAGCTTGAATGCCGAGAAGTTAGCAATATACGAAAAATCCAGAAAATGATAAAAATTACTGTGTAACGTGTCGATGGAGTCAGTCCGTTAATAGTAACATTCCGCTGTGTTCCTTCAAATTCCAATATGGTCTTATCGTCAGGAGATGCATCATTCCAATAACGCACCTAGTAAACGGACATGTAACATTTCCAAGAATTTTCCGGTGGTTTTAGTAGACATCAAAACAGACCACAAATCGCGTAATTACACCGTTTGGATTACTAGGCAAATCCCATGTCACAACAGCTCCGTTGAACATCACCTAAATATGAATGAACGGAATTCTTCCGTCTTTACAACAATTAGGTTATACAGATAAGCAGAAATAAGCCATCAATTCTCCCACTGGCACGAAGTCTCGTATTCTCTACTAAACTTACATCGGTGATGCTTAGTCCAATAACAGCATCCGGAACATCTTCGTCAGTGACAATAAGAATAGGATGACTACGTGGACCATCTCCTGGCGAAGTATAGCAGAGCACAGTGACGTTGTAGTGACCTGGACGCAACTGTTCTTATTCCGTCGGCGGTTAGATATTATGCATTAATCAATGGAAAACTTCACAACAATTCAACGAAAACCTACCATATTTTTCCAGTCCACCAATGGTCACATGTAGATCTTGCGATGTTGGATCTACTAGTACTCGCCGATAGAGATTGCCGTATTGCGGTGCACCCTTCCAGAACTCGATCTGATGGCAGAAATTTCCACATCAACTAAATATAACTGCAACCTGGATGAAACATGAATAAATTACCTTGTAGCCCAGATTAACACCAGGAATTCGCTGTTGATTTGGAGCTGTGAAACTAATCTCCACAGCTGTGGAGTTGAGTACATTCGCAGCCACATCCTTAGGTGCTTCGGTTGGAACTATAAAATGTTCATTGTTTAACAGCGATTCGTCGTAGCTCGTAGCGCAACTGCTGCTATTCAATTTTACTTCCATTATACATTGTCTCTGCAGTTTCGTTTGTTCTCTATTAAAAAAGTTACATCTGAAACATTTCACGGTATTAATACTAAATAAAACTTAAAGAATAAGGCATAATAAAGAATAAAGCTCTCGGAGTTGATCAATCCTAGAGGCATGCGCTATGCATTCGACTTCACTAACCATCGTTAGAGGTGACTGAATCCATATGTGGCTTTTTACAATGACTAGCGGTGGCCTAATGATGTATGGAACCAGTGCTGCTATCCTCCCAAAGAAGTTTGGTACCAATTTGCCGACCCTGGAGGTATGGAAGGCTTGGTGAACCTGGGGAGCAGAGATCGATCCCATGTATTTTGCAGGGTGCCTCCGACCACTGCGCTACACGCGTCCCTTATAAGGGCACCCAATAATTTTCTATCGGATAACTCTTAAAATTCTACAAGTGGACTAAAGATTGCCGCATTTTCTAGTTTAAAAATGAACACATGCTTAATTACTTAGTAGTTATCTACGATGAATCCTCAGTGAGAAAGATCCGTGGTATTAATTACATGTTGTGAAAAAGACTTGACAATATGGTTTCAAATTATTGATGTAATACAATGGTCGAAAAAAAAACTACCTCCTTCTGCAGTTGTTACATAGATACTCTTGCTGAACACACCCAAGCCACGATGATTGTATGCCGCTACCTGGATCTCATATTCTCGCCAAGTAATCAACTGATCGATTGCCTAAAATACAAGAATCAGACAAGACTCCTGCTTTAACTAGTGTTTTATTTATGATGGTAGCTGGACTATCTCTAATCATTCCCCTCACTATTCATCTGTAATTAAGACTAACGCGTGGAATAACTCCTACGGACGTCATAACGGTTTACCGGTTTTGCGGATGTTGCCGGTAAGACACCTGTGGGAGTCATTTGCTTCTCGATTATTTACTCTCCCATACTGTACTACACTAACATTTTAACACACCTACTGTTTTCCTAGACATCTCGTGATCAATGAATGGCTTATCCAACGCAGATGCTGTGACGGGAGTTATCCATGGGAGGATGGAGGATGTCTTCTTCATAATTTTTCACTTTAATTTCCATTTTTCGGTCTGAGACTACCACGCTCCAAGAGAGTCTTCGGCATTGAGAATGTGGGCAGCGGACAGCAATTAGTTGTTTCCTAATTTTCAGTTGCTGTGGTAACTTTGGGTATTCTTTTCAACGACAGGATGTCCAAACAAAAAGATTAACATCGCAGTATTCCGCGCAGAACTTGTACAACTTCATTGAACGCTGACAGAAGTGTATAAGCAAAAATAATATAGGTGTGTAGAAGAACATCAAGCGTGGAGGAAGTCACTTTGTAGAGTGGAAATTATAACTAAAGAAGCGGGGCTACAGAGAAATTGCCGGGGTCGGTGTGACACCCATTAATTATAGTGCTAAGACAGTAAGGAAAACACTAAAACGAAGAGTAATTGTAAACAACTATCAGTAGCAGCTCACTAAGGATAAAAAGTAACACATTGTATTAATTTTGTAAGGGTGCGTGTGGCGAAGTGGTCGAAGGCCCCCTGTAACACACACGTGGAATCGATCCCTTCGCCCCTGGTCCATCCTTTCCATCCCTCTAGGGTCGGCAAATTTGTGCCAGATTTGTCTGGGAGGATGGCAGTACTGGCTCCATACATCGCTAGGCCACCGCGAGTCATTGTAAAGACTAGATGCGCATCCAATCACCTCCAACGGTTCTTAATGAAGACAAGTGTATTTTGCATCACTCAGGGATTGATCAACACCGAGAGCTTTATCCTCTATCAATTTTGTTACATTTTACGATTTTTTGAGCTCAAAATGACATTTACTGGATAGCTTACTTCATACTGCATTCAATAACTAAAAATCAAAGAACATTTTACATTCATTTGGAAACCTCTACAAAACTTACTGTATTACGTGCGTCCTTAGTTGTGACATTTTTCTCGATCCATGGAAGTGTATAACCTGCTAGTCGATAACTGAAAATACCCGTGTAGATGGAAGGAATAACTGAAAATCAAAGTACTTTTGCAGGAAGAGGATAATTAATCATAAACTTTCGGTCAAAAGACGACGTAGCGTGATAAGAGACTTCTAATCCAGAATTTCTTGACGATGTCCGGGAAACTCACCGCACAATATACCCTAAAATATCGCCACTCCACTGTTCTTCTTGTGGTTGCTGCCACTGCACTATAATGCTACTGGCGGATCGTGCCGAGGCGGCTACGTTTCGTGGAGCTGCCGCCGGCGGTTGTTGTGGCATTGTGACATTTCCTAAACAAAAACAACCAACACTCAAGTAAGCAAAAGATATGCATGAGGTATACCCCGTTACTTGCCTACTTGGTTAACTTGGGTGACCCGTCCTCACTGGTTGGGCGGGCCGCAGCAAAATTTCCGTTTTCTCGGAGTTTTGCAGGCTTAACTATTCCCCGGAGTCCCGAAGCCTTCAGGGATTCTCCACTACGGAGAAAGTAAAACACAATAGTTTGAACAGATGGATAGGAATAGGTTGAAATAAAAGCTTCATTTAAAAGACCACGCGGATTTCTGTATCTTGGCGAAATCCATTTGAAAGTTTGGATGAGAACAAACTGTAGATGATTCAGACAAGCAAATAAAGGTTTCAGAAAGTGGCTACATAACAAAATGGTATCGAAAACCAAGTAGTAAAAACATACTAGTTCACTACCTCTCCTCTCATCCTTCACACATGAAAAAAGCACTTATCAAAACATCTAGCTAACGAGTAAAAATGTGTGCACGGGAGTAGTTGTGGTCTGTTAAAAAAGCCACTTTAGAGTTTAAATAAGAACAAACATTAGATTATTATAATGCTGAGATCTTGGCAAAACTCCGGACCGCAGGTGTTTGCGGTGGGGAAAGAACGCGCTATTGTCTAACAAAAAATAGCGATTTTACAACAGCACGATGCCAAAATCTACGACGCAAATCATACCGGTGCAAAACCTGTGCGAAAAAAGCTTCCTACCATCCGAACGTCAGTCATGATAGTGCTCGAAAGGATCTCTAACTCGTTAAATTTTTGGAGCACTTCTAGTGATATGAAGACCCCAAGGACATGTGAGATCGAAGCCGTCATCGCCAATTTTTCTACTGCAGATCAAAGAGATTGTAGTCCTCTATGCCTCTATGTCGTTTACAGGTCTCATCGTGGCTGGGAAAAAAGAAGGGAAAGAGAAAGAGGTAGCAAAGTTACGCCGCAAAAGTCCTTTTCAAACTACATCGTTTCACAAACAACACCTATACCCGTTACCAAAACAGTGATGCAGAGACACAACCACACATTCCTCTGAAGTTAATCTGCCATAAGAGGTATGAAGAAAGCAATGCTCAAGTTTTCGAGCTGGAAGTTCTAGTTAGACGCACTTATCGCAATCTCATACCATTGGAATCTCTCACGCACTCTCGTTTGACATAGAAAAAAAGCGAACAAAAAGATGTTCCTGGGTATCATCGAATGCGCTTATTAAGTACACCCTACTAGCTCTCCACATAGAGCGTCCTACTTTACATATCAAAGCCCTCCCACGACTCTCAAATAATATAGCAAAAATGACTTAAACAAGGAATTCGGTGCATAGATTACACGGTATACGTTGTTAGGAGATTGCAGACCATAACCACGGATGACAGTTACGAAGTAATGGAGGAAGCTTAATGGAAGGTTACTTAAGTAGAACCACAAACATGCTAAATAATTACTTGAAGTGATGTTGAATATATTACTGTGCACTAAAAACTAAAGTGATGGGAGTCTGCAAAACTATTCGAACTTAGTTAGGTATGGAACTTACTTCGGATGTTATGAACAGTCAGAATCCAGAATGGTGCATAACCCGCGTAACAGTCAGTCCTATGATGTTGCACAAGTATTGCATAAACAATTTCGTATCAGCTCATTGAGAATCGAAGAGTTTATACAATCTTCCACAGTCAAATTAAACGTTCGCTTTCACAAGTTGATTAGGTTTTGTTTCGATAATCTCACAGTGGTTCCCAAGCAAATTTTTCAGTCCGAAGTACCAATACGTGACTATATTCTTCCGTTGAATTAGAAATAATAAGAGAAACATGACAAAAAGCAAAAAGAATTTCCCAGTCCAAAACAGCGCGCAATAGTCACACTCAGTAAAACTATTAACAAATAAAAATGTATAACTTTTATCTAGTGCCCATTATTTTTCCACATTAGGGTATTATGTGAAATACAACTACAATGATGATGAAATATTTGCAAACCTGACTGGTAATTGACGCGTTATTGCTGAAGGCACCGTTAGGGTAAAAAGAATGGCTGAGAGAAAGGCGGAATGAGGGCCTCAGTGGTGCCGTGCGTAGCATGTGAGCACCCGGGAAGGGTAATCGCGGTTCGACCTGGCCTGGCGTCCATGTTTTGCAAATATCTCAGCATCTTTGCGGTTGTATTAATAAATAGCAATTTCTCCAAAACTCAAAGCTCACTCGATGGCAAAGAGGGCTTCCCAGATCCAAAACGATTCGATGCGACCACGCGAAACTCGGCTGTGACTGATGGTCGAAGATTGTCAACAAGAACTGCGCAACATTCCTGTAAAAACAGTAGGAAGGCTCATCCATATTTAAAACGTCTTGATAATTTTAAATTTTGTATAACGCATAAAGAACACCAACTTCACTAGGTACGTTATCCACCACAACCTCCCAATCACTCCATAGCTGGGTCGGTCCAAGAGTTCGCATTTCCACTGAGTGCCTTAACAATAGAAATACGCACAAAAGCAGAAACGTAACATACTTGTCCGTGCCATGCACATATAATAACACAAGAAAAAGTTCTTTAAGAATAGAATTACTTTATGATTGGAGAGTTCCCATCGAAACCTTCAACCCAAGAAACACGAATTTTCGCTGGTATTGTGCTGTTAATTAATTCGGCACGCACGAAAGTTGGCATTTGTGGTCGTTCTGTAAAATGTGGAATATCAAGGTGAAATATTTAGGTGTCACAATCGCCAGTCCATAGGATATAATCCTTTACGTGCACGTCACAACTACTTGATCCTAATATAACTTTCAATGAAAAGTGTCAAGAAAAATCGCGACTCGAAATTGGTTACGCTGCTCTACTTTGCACATTCTCAGCTCCACGCCTCTAGATGCCCGATAAGTTGAACTTATTCATGAAAAAGGAAACACTGCGCGTGTACCAGCTAACCATGTAAGTCATAATCGAATTCAATTTCTTACTATTTGAGTAGATTTATAAAATTTAACACGAATAAAGAGGTTGGTGTAGCGCAGTGGTCGAAGGCGCCCAGTAATACACATGAGATCGATCTCCGTGCCAAAGCTCACCAAGCCTTCCACACCTTCGAGGTCGGCAAATTGGTGCCAGACTTGCCTCGGAGACCAGCAATGGCTGACACATCGGTAGGCCATCGTGAGTTATTGTAAAGGCCAGATATGCATTCAGCCACCTCCAACGATACTTCATGATGTTGAATGCATGGTGCATTACTCAGGATTGATCAACGCCAAGAACTTTAACCTTTTTTATCTATTTTAACACGAATGAGGAGACCACATTGGTGGATGTCATATAAAGTTTATTTCTCAAACATTCAACTCACGTGTTCGATCCCGATCATGTTCCCAATCAATCTAATTTTAGCACTAATTGACAGTTTTACGGGACTTAATTAATTCATGAATTACCGTTACCACTTATGTTAAACATTTTAAAAAATACCAATGATTCGCAAGAATGCAGAGGCGCTCTCTTCTTTTCCGTCAGCTGTCACGACACAACGATACTCTCCAATATTATCAGGCCCGACTTGCCGTATAAGTAGGCCGCCATTATTTTTTCGACTCAAACGTAGGTTCGGATTACCTGTCACTGGTATTGGTTCGTCCTGTAATGAATTTTCTCCTCCAAAACTTCTTATTTATCAACTATAACACTCGAAAAACAAAGACAATGAGGCATTTCCATCACCATTCTCAGAACACTAAATGACTCAATTTCAGTAACCGTAACCAAGACCAATCCTATGCGAAACTTGTTGAAAGTTTCTGCCTTGTAGAAGAGAAATTTTGACATATAGAATACTAGTGAACGAGAAGCAATTCACTGAAGAGAATGCACTAGAATTTCCTTCAGACTTCGAACTAGTTGAAGAAGTTCAGAACAAGGAAGTATTAGAAACAAACGTTCATGAACCACATCACGTGGGCATTGGTCTCATAATCAGCGGTAACTTCGCAAGGTATCACAATATTTGTACCAATCACCACGCTCTGATTTGTTGGGCCGAACTCAATCAGATTTGATCCTAAATAACTTTGCGATATCGGCAAATCGACGGCGAAAAAAATTGACACTACGGGCTATAAAGCATAACAAACAACCATAATAATTGGGGAATCAATCGTTTGCAGTCAAAGTTTGTCAAATCACCTGTTGCTGTCACCCTTGCTGTTGCACTCGTCATTCCAAAGCTGTTTTTCGCTATGCAACTGTACCTTCCGCTGTCCGACTTCTTCAAATCATGAATGACTAACCCATCCTCCGTTATATCGTACTTCTCCGAAGTAGACGTGATGTCAACATCTACAATAGTATGTGAGATTTGTGCGCTCTCTGGTTAGATTCAGTTAGAGAGAGAGAGAGAGAATGTGTCAAACAACGAATACACGCACAAAATAGAACAGTGATCAATATTTTTACAGAACTGCTAAATCTTCTCGACCTCATTCTTAGAACTAGTAAGAATGAATATTTATTTTGCACTGATAGAAGGAAATCTGAACATAGAATTAAATTTGAACTCAACTATAAACTAGTTGCTGTTTAGATAGACCACACAACATTAGTCCTAAAAGCTCTTCCGTAAAACCTCGGCAATCATTAACTCTATTAGACCACACTGCCCACGGCTGTCCTACTCACAGAACGTTAGGGTGATCATGTTTCACAAATATAAGCCTTGTCATCATGGATTCACTGCATTGATAATACCAACACAACAAATGTGTCTCACTTATTTTGATTTAAAATAATAAGCAGCTTTTTTATAACACTAACCGTGGAATCTCCATGTAATCGCGGTTGTAGGTACACCGATGGCCGTACATTGCAATTTCAGTGTCTTTGATCCAACAACAAATGATACGTCCTTCGGTGATATAGTGATCACTGGCGCACCAAAACCTGTCTCAGAAACAGCTTCCTCGATCTGCTCATCTTCTGAACGCGAGAACTCTAAAATAATTGTGCTTTTCACTGTCAAATTTGGTTTGCAAAAAAAAAATGACAATAACAATAAAGACACAGTTTTCCGAGTTATAAATACTAAAGTGGCTAGTGCCTCCTAACGGTCTGCCGCCTCATCGTGGCTGGGAGGTGTTCCTGAGTGTCGGCCTGCGATATACAGCGGGGGATTCATCCTCCCAGCAGTGTCTCTCAAGCTGACAAGGACTCTGCTGTTTCCATCAGGAAACCCAGCTAAAAGTAAACCAATGGCGGGATCCACCACGGGCCTAGTACCAAGCTAGTTTCATGGTGGTGAATCTCCCTCTGATCCACAAGGACGGCGACTGCCTGTGGTGGTGACGACCTGGGGAAGACTTTAGCCAGGCTGACCTCGGGACTCCGGGGAACCACAACAGTCAAACTAGCAAAACTCCAAAAAAAGTGGGAATTATGCTAAGGCCTACACAACCAATGAAGACGAACCATCCAAGTACCCAAGTAAAGTTACTAATGCGTCAAAATTTCTTGAGCTCTTCATTTCCTTGTCTTTTCATTTTAGTCGAAGTAATATATGCATGTTAAATTATGGCAAATACCTCGTAAAGAAACATCGTTAAATCATAGTTCGAGAAAGATTTATTCAGAACACAATTTTCCATCAATCTTCCGTGCTTTTTCTCATCATTCAAAAAAAATGAACCTGTGAGCACTAGATATTTTGGTACGAAATCTCACACTTCGAAAGACAGTAGGCGCGATTTTTTAAGCATTATTCCAAATTTCTCTTGATTCCTTCACAAAAATAAAACAACGGAGCACATTATCCCTCATGGAAAGAACTCGTTATCGAAAATTAAGCACTTGGCGCCACATAGCATTCTGTGAAAATATTGAGAGAACAGCCGCTATGAGGTAGTAAAACCGAATACTCTTCACTATTTTCTCAGCACTTCGAACATTTAGACTCGATTTTTCGATTGTGCATGAAAACCTTATATATAAAAAGTCTACAACATCTCACAGTAATCTTCCTAACTTATTGAGTATTCATCAGAAATAAAAACTACATGTTCCAGAAACGCCACCTGGAGTCATGCCCTCCTTCACCCATATGGTGTTCATACTTGATCCAGCGTCATTTGATGTCTCACACTGGTAGATACCATAGTCTTCTTGCGACAGCTCCTGCACGACTAGTTTACTCTTTTTTGTTGCAATCTGAAACAATTTTGGAGCTAGTTTTCTAAATAAATAGCATTAGTATTCGTCGTCGTTTGACCTCCAACGATTACAATTCGTTTTAAACAAAATTACCAGCTTTTACATGCTAGAACGCAGCCTTTTGCTAAAACTAATCGCAATACACAGAAGAAGCAAGTGTTAATAAAATCGTTGGTCTTGAGATAGAAACGAAACAGAGTATAAGATGTAACTGCTGAAAACAGTAAAGAAATGATCTCAAAACCCAGAAATTTTGAATGTGTCATTTAATTGAATATATATATATATATATATATATATATATATATATATATATTCAATTAAATGACACATTCAAAATTTCTGGGTTTTGAGATCATTTCTTTACTGTTTTCNGAAAACAGTAAAGAAATGATCTCAAAACCCAGAAATTTTGAATGTGTCATTTAATTGAATATATATATATATATATATATATATATATAGCATGAGGGACATAGAGATCCACGGAGATGAACCGAAGGATAGTTATTATCTCATCCCATAAAGCAGTCTTTTACTTTATATGAGAAAAAATTCCTCAAAAGATGAAAATCTTAGCGGCATGTATTCTTTGTTTGATAAGCTTACATGAGGCTGATAAATAATTTTTATTCGGCTAACGTTCCGACGTCTTCATCTTCATCAGGGCCGACAATCCGAATCGACGGTCCACAGTTGTTCGTCTTCGTCTTCTTCGTATCGAGTTGGATCTTCCTCAGTGAAGCATCTCTCGAATGAGGAACTCTCACACGGCGACGCTCTTTTATACAGAATACCTGCTGTTAATAATAACGATTCTCCGGTGACAATGAGTTGTTTTTTCCGGACAATCCATCTGCAGAAGTGCGTTTCATTATTAGCTAGCAGAGATCATAACAATAATAACATAAAAATAACAGACGCCATACCGAGAACACGAACAACTATGGGCCAACGACTCGGATCATCGGTTCTAATGAAAACGAAGATGTCGAAACGTCAGCCGAATAAAGATTACTTACCATCCTCCTGTAAGCTTATCAGACAAAGGATTAGTCACGCACAGGTTAAAGGAAAGTCTTGGCAGCGAAAAAAAACTGAACGATGAACTGCATAAGCGAGAACTCTGTGCTGACAAAACATGTTCAAGAAATTTTCTTCGTATTTTTGTTGAGCAAACGCGAGGTGTTATTATTCTTTGTTCACGATTAAGCTGACGTTTCGGCGGATGTCGCCTTCCTCAGAGCCGCTTCCTATGAGGTTTCCACTAAGTATGTCACGTAGAGAACAACCGCACAGAAATCACGTGGAAGTATAATGTGATGGCCACGACCGACTTTCTATTAACCTCGGCATTGATCAAGTAATTAGTAAAAAGTAGTAATGTAATCAAGTGCATTGATCATCATAATGTGATTATTATGTCTAATGCCTTTATGTCTAATGCGGAAGCACCAGTTATCGATTTCGGGCCATTAGTCTACTGTAGCTACATAGATGATTATACTTCCATTATACTTAAGGGCACGCAGAAACATAACGGAGAAGATTTTGAAGTAAGGGTTACGATCCTCGCGCAAGAATCGAGAACACAAGCGCGCAAAACTCTAGAGGCATTCTGGATAAATTCCAAGAATCCGAAAATGAACCGCAGAGAATGAACTACCTTGTTATCACGTGTGATATTGGACAGTATATAAACCTGTTATTCTGATGGGAGGGGCACATTACGCTTCCATGTGAATTCTGTGCGGTCGGTCTTCACGCGATATACTCAGTGGAAGACTCATAGAAAGCGGTGAGTGTGCAGAGCTATGCTAAATGTGATTGAAATCTTGGTTTGGAGTCTTCTCTGTTTGGTTATGGAGGTGTTTGGCCGAATGGATTGCTGTCAACTTGACCCTTCCAGGCTCTGAGGAAGGCGAAATCCGCCGAAACGTCAGCTTGTGCGTAAATAAATAAATAAAATAGCACCTCGTGCTTGCTGAACAGAAGTAGAAAGATATAACTGAGAGACAGGCAAGACGAAGGACCCGGATGGTGTGGTGGTGAAGTGCGCTACTCCCCGGTAGGGACAATAGCGCGTGTTCGTTCCCCACCGCATACACCTGCGGTCCGGAGTTTTGCAAATACCTCAGCATTATATACGATCTAAATTTAATTTAACTCATTATGCTAGATTTATTTCATGGCGTTAATAACGTCTAAGGCCAAAAATAATGTTACCTTTAAGTTCCAAATAAACATATTGAAAATATTTCTTTACAAATACTTAGATATACGTGATTATCTTTGTTTGTTCTCTAAAAAAATGTGTAAACGAACATAGTCGTAGCGCGCTTTATGGACTGAAGTAAAACCCAGTAGAATCTACAGAGACCTTCAAACAAGAGATAAGTTTACTAACTCTACTACTATGAAATTGTGACTTTCTGAAGGGACAAATCATTTCCTTCTTGTTCTATCGTCTACGCTCAGAAAAGAATAAGATTGAATAAGGAGGACTTCATCCTGGAGGACACGATGGTGTTTTCGAATACGTCGTTTGGATAGACGCCTCGCTTGTATTTCTTATTCCATTAACACTTCTCAGAAAATAGTCTAAGAGCGTTTAACGTAAAATTAACGCATAACGTGAAACAACGCAATGGTATTGCATTACTAGTGTTCAATTAATTAATCAGCATGGATTATTAATTAACAAAAAACAAAAGTAACAATTCTGGAAAACAAGTAGAGACCATCAGAACGGCATATCCTGTGAAACAACCACGTTCCTGTTTCCTAAAGTGCTTTGGTTATCGAAGGAATAACGACAGATGGCAGAAAAACCACACAGTCACGAATGTGTTCGAGCGGCTATAACTTTGGACTAATACCATTATCAGGGCCAATCCCAAAAACGTTGTTCGAGCAGATCAACAGGCATTTTAAAAAAGAGAACAACCATGCAATTGATTAATCGTTGCTGTGGTGGATATCCTCAAATAACTCATGGCTGTTCTGAATTTGAAACTCATGTACAGCACACCTTTGTGTTCGAACCAAAAAAGTCGCATTAACCCCACCATAAGCGAAGCTCGTTGGAGATATCTGTCCAAACTAAGAAAGGAAAACTAAGACAAGGTGTAACTCAGAAGCAGAAAAGTCAAGAACACCAACATTCACTAATTTCTAACACTTATTCCACAATAATTTATGACTGTTCTGCTTTCGAAACTCAAGTACAGCATATATAGACGCCTAGACCAAAAAACTTGCACTAACCTCACCACAGGCCATGCTCTCTGGAACCATTTGTCCGAAGTTACAAAGGAAAACTAAGATAAGGTCTACCTCAGAAGCAGAAAAGTCGAGAACGCCAATATTCTCTGATTTCTAACACTTATCCTAGTATTCTTATTCTAGTCCTAGCTTTCAAGCAACACTGGAATACAAGCGGACTGAAAGCTCCAAACAACAGTTTAGTTGGCATTGCATGTCACATAGGCTAGCGAAAGTTAACCGCTGAGTTCAAATATTTGTTTGCTTATATGGCAGCCGGTTTCAAACCTCTAATCTCACGCCACAGCAATTATTTTCTCCATCGAAACATGGACACACCGCTTAACTGATGTATATCGAAACTGGAAACCCATAGAAACTAGTTAACTAGCAGCATATGCACCCAATTGTCGCCAGTGAAGGTTCCACCACGTGTTCGGTTTTTCATCCACAGCAAATGGCACTTAGACATTAAGTGAGCAATGCTATACAACTACACTACCAATAGGAAAAGCCACTGATGAAACTTTAGAAGAAAAGCCAATTATTTTCCCAGTTTAGAAAAGCATTCTAGAAGCCGCAAATTTTAAACTGGTGCTAACGTCAGGTTATTAGGTCAAAGGACCACCATAATCAGGCACCATTCTAAGCCAAAACGACGCATTAGTGAAGATGAAGTAGAGGATACTTATGTTAGTGAGAATAAGTCGAATAACTTGTAATGATTTTACCAATCAATATCTATTTATTTCATCATAGTATTTACATTCGTGAGAAAAAGAAAAAACCTACAAGACAAACAGTTCAAATGAGTAAGAGGAAGAGAGAAGAAATGAAGAGAAAAACAGAAATTATAGACGGAAAGTTCTCTTGAAAACTCACTTCACGGCCGTTAAAATACCATCGAATAGTAGACGAAGCATCTCGACGCCTTTTCCGAGAGCATGAAATGGTCAATGTTGAACCCAACGGTTGAAGGATTTCCCGTGGCAAAGGTTTTAACAACGGTATATCTGAAATTTCCTTCTTCTCGAGTGATTCAAAATTGGAAATGTAACGGACATAAATCCAATTTCAGAAAAAGCGCTGTCGAATTTTAGGTAAAACTTACCAATTACGTTCATCACCAATGATTTCTGATCGAACAAAACTCCCGACGAGGAGTCTACTTTGCAGTCCAGCTTGTACTCCAAAGTACCCTATAATACTGATAAAAGTTAGAGCCCAGATTCATTCATTGATTCATTCGACCCCACTGAAAACTAGAAGGATGCCAACTGCTAAGAACTGAACATAACAGAATAAACCAAATAATATCAATGCAATACTATACAATGCAATACGATACAGTATAAAAACATACGTACATACGCATATGTATAGATATATATACCTGTATGCATAAAAAAAGGATGAAGCTCTCGGCGTTGATCAATTCCCGAGGGATGCGCCATGCATTAGACTTCATTTAGCATCGTTGGAGGCGATTGAATGCATACCTGGCCTTTAAATGACTCGCGGTGGCCTGCCGATGTATCGAGTTAGTGCTGCTAACCTCCCAGACAAGTCTGATCCCAATTTGCCAACCCCTGAGGATGGAAAGCTTGGTGGACCATGGACACGGAGATCGATTTCATGCGTCTTGCAGGGCGCCTCCGAACCACTACGCTTCACGCGCCCATATGCAAACATACATATATGTACATATACATATATATATATAATTTGTATTCATATACATCACCTGTGGTCCGGACACCTAATGCGTATGAATGACAACCAATGAACAAGAGCCGTTAGTGACTGGATTCATCGGGATGTCAAACGTATTGCAGGAAGTTCATCGACCCGATGGTCAGAGTTCTTCACAAAGACCCTTGAAGAAAGATATGATGCTCGACGAGTCCTTACAGCGAGCAGAACCCACTGGGCTGCTCTTGCACGCGACAGGGAAAAGTGGAAGATTTACTGGCGCTCGCTCGAGTCACTCGACGATCAACGGGACTACAGGTGATATAGGTGATACATCACCTGTCAGGTCACCTTTCTTGAACAATAACACGGTCTTGTTAGCCTTCCAATGAGTAGGGACATTGCATTCAGGCAGGTAACGTGTGACGAGCCGAGTCAGTACGTTTACGAGAACTGGCGGAAGGTTCTTCAGGTGTTCTGGTCTTGGTCTTATTCTGTCCGGACGCGGTGCTGTTCGATTTTTCACCGACGAGATGGCATGTCGGATTTCGGAAGGAAGAACCGGTGGTGCAACATATCCATCCCCTTTATTTCATATGAGGGAAGGTGGACGTGGCTATCGAAGAGATCCTAGTAGTTCGTGAATGGTTTTCTCCATTGCCTTTCTGGAAGCTGTAACTGTTCCGTCTGGGTGCCGGAGCGCAACCATTTTGGTCTTGTAATTGGCGAAGCTTCGGTTGGGTTTGCGAATGCTTTTCCCAGCTTCTGCAGCTTGGGCCATTACTGCTACTCTTCTCTCTTTAAGATCTATTACCACCTGTCTGCATTGTTTTGCAAATTTGAACGTTATTTCGCGGTTACCTGCAGCTCGTGCGATACCACGCTGGCTTATAAGCTTGAGTGTTTCTGGATATAGACGTCTCTTGGTGACCTTCGAGCTCTCAGCTTTCATAGCACTAACGTGAAGATGTTGATGAGCTGATCGTATTTTTCGTCGATATTGTCGACAACGGCATCTTCACAACAGCCGATTAATGAATTGAATAAATTCCAGTTTACGGTGGTTTTGGGACTTCGGTTTTGGAATTTAGCGGCTTTTTCTCCTTTCCGCGAGAAATAGAATCTTGTACGAAGGAGACGATGGTCTTATCCCGTGTAGAATTTTGGGACAACAGCGACATCGGTTAGGTAAAATGTTCTATTTACTATCCATATACATATACAAAAAAATTCAAAAGTAGTCCGCAAGACATACACTGCTGAGCCCGTCTGGAATTGTGATAGTCAGACGACGATTATTATGAGATAAATCGATTCCTGTTTCAGTTCCAGAAATCGCTAATCCATTCAAGAACCAACGAGTTCGAACTCCATTTCTAAAATTCTACAAGGTTACCAGTATATTGAGAGAATATTTATCTCAAAAGAAATTATCCCCTGTAGTCTTTAAAGCATTTTAGAAGCAGAACATTGACGTAATTCTAATACAATATTTAGACAGAAGGAACAACACAGGAACGTACTTCAAGGATGAAACACAGTCGAAAGATTCCACTTTCCTCTGCAAGGAATCAGAAAGAAAAATTTTCCGGCTGTCGGAAAAATAAATTATGATTAACCCATCAGAAGAGTGACTGAAATGTTCAAAAACGATTAAATTACTCCTATAAATACGTGCGAAAAACCAATTCAAGGAGAACCAAAGTTGGACTCACGAAGGAATTTCAATTTTGCGAACCGTAAATACATTAGATACCGCTTCACCTAACCCATCGACGGAGGTTACCACCTAAACTCAAATTACAATATTACACGTTACGTAGCCGAAAGAAAGCATTCTGTAACCATAATGAAGCTGAGATATTTGTAAAACTCCGGATCGGTGGTGTATGCGGTGGGGACCGGACACACTATTACCCTTTCCGGGGCTAACGCGTTTACCACCACACCATGAGAGTCCTTCGTTTCGCCTTTCTCTCATCCACAACAAACACCAGCGGTCTGCAGTTTTGCAAATACCTCAGCGTCATTATAGTTATATTTCACAGAATACCTTGCCATGAAAAAATGATAGGCAGTAAATAAAAACTGACGACAATGCTCTCAATATCGTCAAATCATATTTCACCTTATACTTTCCAAAAGACGAATGTGTTGCGTCTACAACTACCAGATCTCCTCTAGATGTTACATAATGCGAAGCGTTCGAGGACACCTTAAAGAACAAAAAAGTAAAAAGGATTGCTGGCGACAGATTCGACTGCTAGAATCAGTGGAAGGCGTTACCAACTAGCTATTAGATTACTGGAAAAACAAGTTCATTAGCATTTACGACAATCAAATTGGCTTATGTATTCTGCAAAGGAAATAAGATCCTTCAAGAAGAGCAAAGCAAGGAGCCGCCAGCTCTATAACAACCACGTAAGGATATTATTTCGACACTTGAATGGCCCGTCTTCAATGATTATGCGGACCCAACATAATTTCCACTTTTTTCAGAGTTTTGTTGGTTTAGCTTTGGTGGTTCTCTAGAGTCCCTAGGTCAGCCTAGCCAAAATATGCCCTAGGTCGTTACCACCACAGGCAGTGGTCACCATTGTGGATGAGAGGTAGATTTGCAATCATGCGACTAGTTTGATGCCAGGATCCTGGAATTGGTTTACGCTTAGTCAGGCACATTGGTGGAAAAGCCGGCCTTCTTCTCAGGTTAGGAGACCCTGCTGGGATGATGAATCTCCCTGCTGTACATCGCAACCCGATACTCAGGAGCACCTCCCAGCTCTGAGGTGGTAAGTCGTTGGAAGGACACATAGATATTAACTGAACCAAGTGCACATAAAACGGTCGGAGAGAGAAGGACAAGACGGCAGTAAAACCACAATTTTGAAAGATCTAAATCGAATTGGATTGTCAAAAGCAAAAAACTTCAAATGGGTGCTTTGTGAATTGAACGAAAATCAACGAGATCGTTATTAGTAACCAGCTTCGTGCAATATTGAAACGAAAAGGTCAAAGGTCAGACATTCCAAAACCTCTAAAAGTCGAATCTACAGCAAGATATATTGCACTGTACACGTATTTTTTAGATAAAACCGTTGATTTAGCATTCGTGAAATCTTGCAGAACCTACTTTCTAATTAACCTGATAAATAACGGTATAACCAATCGATAGCTATACGTTGTTATTGTGTGGTCCGGTAAACACGCTTGTTCCAGACAACGACCAATACAAAGACCCATACAGAGGTTTCTACATTCTCAACCACTTTCTCAGATTTGCTGTTTACACAAGGTGGACGGCTATCATCAATACAATGCGTAGCCTCCCTCTCGTACTGTGCGGTCTAGTTCAAACAAACCAACTGACAAGAGATGATGGCTAACTACTTCATCCAAGCTGTTCAACCCCGTTCCAAAAACAACGGTAAAACCAGCTTTCTGTGAGTTTAAATAACAGCGACAGATGATTCACATCTATGCGCTTCAAATGAAGAGAAGAGACGCCGCTATTCAACCGTGAGAAACTGATCAACAAGCCGATTCGCATTAGAAGAACTACTGCATCGTTGCATAATAGCCCGGACAGATTCTCGTGAGGATCTGATGCCCAAGAAATCTAGAGTTCTTAAAAGAAAACAGATCCATACAGATAGTACTTGAGCAATTATTACTGGCATATGATTATTTTGTGATTGGTTATTTGAACCATCAAACTCTTGCAGACGTTTCTAGCATCAGACACCTCTCAGTTTGTTTCTTGTGCTGAAAGCAAAAGTAGGTTCACTGAGGACTATATGGTAGTATAATTAACCACATAGCAACAAAATCAGACTTTTATTTACGTTTGGGTTATCCTTCCGCCTCTTAAGGTGAGTTTGTCCAAATTTTATCCACCATAGCAAATCATTCAATTCTATGTTTATTCTTCAATAAGCAGACACGAGGTTGTTAATGTAGAATTTATTAGAATACAATAACTGACGTTTCGGCGGTTTCGCCTTCTTCAGAGCCTGGAAAGGTCAAATTGAGATGTGATCTACCCAGCCAAACACTTTCGTAACCACCGCAGATAAAACTTAACAAATAAATCTGTATTCGCATAAGAAACAGCTTCACTTGAACACCTACCGTTTATTTGTTGTAAGTATTTAAGTTAGTTGATGGATAGCAGTTGATGGATCATTCAATTCTCTTCTGCTTATCTCGGTGAACCTCAAACGAACGATGAGATGGCGCAATCGAAACCGGTCAAGAATGCCACAGCAACTTTGTTCACCGTCATCGTCTTTTTTTCTTACGTCGAACATGACTTTCACAGCTAGTACACTGCTACAACGTGTTATATAAAGTTTTGTAACCCAAACTTCCATTAAAAACTCGTCCTGTTACATCGTCCTTGTCAATTCGCTTTACTAATATCAGAACCAGCTGCTGCTCTGAAGGAATCCACAAGAGGGTCGAAAGACAGCAAACCCTCCTCCCACTAACCAGGGTAGTCAACTGAGTGCTTAAAACCTAGGTACCCTCTACCACGGCTACATTAGTGTTACAGTGAAAATCACGCACAACAAGTATTCTAGACGTCAGCAGAAAAACAGAATGATAGATTAATAAGTCACAGCTGAACCAACACACGAATCTCAGAACCTCATGAACGACGATGGCAAGGCAACGAAACAAATGAGAGCGTTGCGACGTCATCATATATGAAAAACAAGTCATTTAAGGATCTAAATAGGTGAATTTCGCTTAATAAATTGCCATATTGGATCAAATAGTAATGAATTCGTCCATAGAAAAGTCACGTTTTCCTATTTTCCACAACCAAACGGAAATGTTCCACAAAGAATGAAGAAAGACCATATTCATATCCTGAACTCCACATTAAAATCTATCATGGTCAGCTGACCACTTTTCCATGAACCCATTGAGCAAAACAATTCATTCCCTATCGCTGAGGTCAATGACACAACAGCGCAAACGATTGGCTTGCCTTTTCAGTCAGAAGCCGGCATTAGAACAAACAAAGGACGAACACAGAGTGGAAAGTAAAGGAAATAACACCTTGGTGATGTCAATCAATACCAAAAAAATTCCTTAAGAAGCATGAAAACTTGGTATAACCCTCAATCAATAATAAACAAGGAGCTAAACACCATCAGGCATACCTGGTTATCACCATTGTACCAAAAATACTCCGTATTGGGTAATGGATCATCACTAGCAATCAGTTTAGGTCTTCTGATAACAAAATAACCTCCTTCATTTACAGAGATCACTCTGTCAGAGAAATCTGACTCCTCGAAACCATCAAGATCTATAAGAAAAAGATGTTCGAATTTCATGGGTTTACTGAACAAGAAAAGTACATCTCCATAAAGTGTTCGATTTATGAACTATCTATATCGATATCGATTGATCTACAATTTCCTGAATCTAGAGCAAGAAGAATAGAACACTTGAAGCATATTTTTATATGGTCAACCTGCCATGAGAACAAGATCTCGTCATTCCAAAAAAGAAAAGAAGGAAGAACATAGCAAAACCCACATTGTACGTTGACTTCGATCGGTGGTGACAAGATAGATGCTACTGAATTCGATGCCAAACATCTATAGATACCGGAATCATTCCGACTTGACTGAATAATTTGGTAAATAACTGTGTCAGTAGAAGTTGGGTGGCCATTCTTAAGCCAATGGACCCGTTCCGAATATTCGCTACGACAGTTCAACAGTAGTGATTGACCCTCGTTAAGCAGAATCGATGCCGGATAATCTTCGTCATGAAACGTAGGAGGTCGACCAAGTACTAATTGCATACGACAAGCACAGGGTAGCAGCAATAGTAGTAATAGAGAAAATAAATCAATAAATAGTTTAATAGTGATCGTTCGATAGCAGATCATGTCACCATCTGCATAACAAAAGCTAAGATCTGAAAGTAAGTCGATTAAGTTTTTTCTGATGGAAATATCGATCGAGAGAGAGTATGAACAGCGGAAAAGAAAAACTGTCGATATCCTCAGGAGCTATTAAGAAACCATATGGCATTAACTTAAGCATCAGAACACCAGAATGACTTCTGAAACTGGAGGCGACATTTTATGGAATGATTTTGGGATGAATATGACAAGCAGAAGTGGATGATTTATTCTATGACAAAGATGATAGGCTTTTCACGTGAATAATGACAATCTACAAAGTACTCAAAGTGCAACGAACAGTCCAGAAAAGTATGACATCTAAGAAAAACTCATGAGTACTGGGAAATTTAACCAGAATCTGAAGCAAAAACGAGGGACAACCTCTACGAAGAGTCCCTATAGACGTGTGGTAGAAGATACTACGTAAGGAAAGTTGAACACTTACCTTAAATTCCCCGTAATAACTTTACAGCAAACATAAAACGATGGTTATAGGATTTTATGAAACAAAGATTAAGCCAAAAAAAATGATGGTCCTTGGTAGAAAAGTTCTCTAATGGGCACTAGAATGTAACGAAGTTATCTTAAGGGAGAAACTAGTTGGAACGGTGAACAACAAAAAGGAAGAAAAGAAAAAAAAAACAGAAGAAAAAACAGGTCGATTGTAGAGTTCGAATGTCCAGGAAATGTATGGAAGAGATAGAATAGTGCTTATGAACTGAAGAGATGGAAAAGCTGGTTTCTAGATCACATTATTTCAAGCTTGACCTTTGATCCCTGCAAATTTCGAAAAGATTTGATTGTCTCGGACTGCATATTTTATAATTGGAAGTACATAAATACAAATTATGAGTAAAAACAACTTCTTCCGAGAAGTGTAACCCCTGGCACAACCCGCAAACCCTTGACTTTTCATGAAGTAACCTCAGAACCGGACAGAGAAAAACGAGAAGTGTAATCGAAAGTGATGTTAAAATCGTTAAAATGTGCAAGTTGAAGTTTGCAACAACCAGAGTGGTACCCAAAAAAAGGTGAAATCCTATGATCCTTTCAATCGAGACAACTAAGGGATTTCAGTACCAGAAACCGTTGCCAACCAGGAATTCCTTTAGTGCCAACAAAGATATCTCCATCTGAAAAACGAAAGCAAATGTTGAAAAACAAATGAGGATACGTAGCGCTCTTAATCAGAAAACAAAGCTAACAAGATTACATAGTTAAAGTCTAAAGCAGCGTATTCGAACATTTAACGACTATTCTAGAAACTTGATAAGAACTGGAGATGGAAAGCGAACTGACCAGAACCATGATGATCTAACATGTTCAAAGTATGTCAGGGCTTACGCAACCCCTCTGAGCGTACGGGTTACAGCCTAGCGCCGGGACGAACGGCGTGGTGGTGGTGGTGGTGGTTGGGCCATCACCGCGGCCGACCTGACATACAATCAAGGCCATCGGCTGGGCGGAGTCAGTCGGCCAGCGAGCCAGAGCCAACCAACAACATTGGCCCAGGTAGGCACATCCCCGAGTGGGTCGCGCTTTTCCGGATGGTTTAAAATCCAAGATATAAAGACACATTGACACTAAGATGCTGAGACATTTGCAAACCCTGACTCCAAACCAGATTCGATCCTGCGATTTCCCTTTCCGGGAGTTCACGCGTTACCCATTGCACCACTGAGACCCTCGTTCTGCCTTTCTCTCAGCTAGTTTTCTACCTAACGGTGCCACCAGCATTCATTCGTCAACAGGAATGATCCAGGGAGCACAAATCTGCATTGAACCCAGTTAAGCCGAGGCTGTAGTCGAAATCAAAATGTTAACTTCTTGTTTACTGCCTATTATGATTTTTCAGTACAGGATATTATGTGAAATAACCAGCTTAGTTGGGTTTGACGCCTCTTATGATTTTTCACGGGAGGGTGTCATGTGAAATAACCAGCTTAACTGGTTTTGACGCTGATTCGTGCTCAACAGATCCTTCGCCCTGACGGGTGATTGCTGATCGTACTGCTAGGTTAAAAAACTGTCTGAGAGAAAGACAGAACAAAGGTCCCAGTGCTGCAATAGGAGCCTGTGAGCCCTCGGAAAGGGTAGTCACGGGTTCAAATCCGGCCCGGGGTCCAAGTTTTGCAAATGTTTCAGTCTCATCGTGGTTCTATTTCATATGATACCTTGCTGTGAAAAAAAAATAAGCAGTAGATAGAAGGTTATACATTCATATTGACACTATTTTTCAAACCGACCGTTATTTCACCGCGGCATTAATAACCAGTACCTTCCTGAACTGTTAAGTTAAAACGAAAATGAGAAGACGGTTGTTCCCAAGTTCGCGTTAGCTTAACAATCCAGGAAGATACGCTGACACTACTCGTATGTACTGCCGTAGATCAAACATTTCGTTCCAAGCACGTATGCGTCTGTTTAAGTGATTTGAACGAAGTTTTCCAATACTAAGTTTCCAAGAACTACTTATATTCTCCCAGTCATTGCAACCAACTAATCCGAAAATTACATTGACATGCAGTGTACTTTTCAGAGTTCGATAAGAGGACAGCAATAAAATGGCCCAGTGAGTTCTATATGCGAGGATTCATAACATCTCTTATAAGAACTCATTCGATACCGTCCACCATTTAAGCTGGTAGTATTTTGCCGTGAAAGACGCTGTTACAGTACATCCTAGCTGGCGAGAAATATTTTTAAGCAGATACAAGTTGTTATGCAAACTAGAGTATTGAAGAATATGTTTATGGCTTTCTTTTTCTTGAACATAATATTCACCGAAAATTCTGAAAGAAAATCAACTTAGTGGAAGAGAAACACTATCTATACTTTTTTATAGCATTAGTACCATTTTGGATTTGAAATTTGGGAAACACGCGCGATTTACGAGCGTTCATGCTCTACCTTTACGCGGAAAGGTTGTAGAAAGAAGCGTTATTGATTGGTAAGGAGATAAGTATGGAGCGCAGCAGGAGTAATCGCGTACCAAACACACGAATCCATAAGAATACAGTCACTCGTCTTCAATTTATGGATTTCTCAATTGTTACTTAAGATTTCTTTTAGTTTAGTCGTATGGTCATACTGGTAGCATTCAGCGCATTCTTTTTGCGGGCTTTGGCCAGAGCGGCGTACTATCGTTCATGTACGAACAAATGAGATGCAATAAAAATTCTGTCTTATAAAACCAACTGACGAAAATTATGGGTCAACGATCGAAATGATAAACCAAAAGGTCAGAAAAGTACGGATGAATGCGAAGCCGCGCAGTGAAAACACCCGATAAAACCTGCTTTATTTGTATCACCCAACCAATAGGCTCTTATCCGACTTTCTTCTCGGTCTTATCTGTCGCTAAATTTGAAAATTCTTCAAAACCAGGGACATATGTTCTCTATATTACTGGGTTTACGTCTTAAACAAAGAAACTGAATGATAGAAAATAGATTAAATAGATGAAGAGCTGCATGGGAAGATTGTTGTATTACCAAAGCTTGAATACCAATGCATTCCAGAATGTTCTTATATACTGTATATATTGATCGAATTGTTTCCGAAATAGAAAAACAGATTATTGTTGTGTTTTTTATCATGATGAGTACATTTCGCAGATCTCTTAATGCAGTGGACCATTCCTCATTGATACCTTCTTGGATTGTTAAGCAAGAGCGAGGTTGACAAAGATGACCATCACCCCGGATCACTGGCTCTGCTGAAGACGAAGACGTTGAAATCTTAGCCAAATAAACATTTCTGTCAACCTTGTGTTAGCTTAACAATCCAAGAAAGTGTTGATTATTACTATCGAGGTTATGTTACGATCAGTTTGAAAAATGTTCCTCATTGAATTGCCACCTTAATGAAGGGGAACGTTTGTCGAAGCGATTCGTTTTTATGAGGCATCGTTTAGAATTTCTACGTCGTACGAATGACTCCATAAACGCCATTGAGGTGATTTATGAATATTCGGCTGCAAACATCGTTACATCAAAAATCCGACGAGTTCAAAGTTTTCCATTCCCTCAGGACCTGGTGTCCATTTATCCGATATTTCATTCCACATGAAGTTATTCGGAACGAGTGTAGCGCAATGGTTAGAGGATCTGGGCAATAGACACCTAGTCCATCATTCGATCCCGCGCACCTGTCAAATCAAGCTCCCCATTCCTTCCGGATGGGCAGATTGCTGCCACATGTGTCTTTGAAGACAAAAACAGTCAATTGATATATAGATAAGCCACCTAAGTCATTGTATAGGTCTGATATGCATTCAATCACCTCTATGATTCTCAGCATATAACTGCCGACATGAATTCGATATAACTCATTTGGCGCGAAATAATGGCTGTTTCAAACCAATATATCAGCATATCAGCACAAATTACGTTTGATTAGTTGGAATAAGGAGCATTGGAATTAAATTAGATCCAAAGATCTTTGCCTACAAGAGACAAGTGGTCCTTAATTTACTGTTTTCTTGATGAGCGGACACGAGATTGTTATTACACTATTTATTCACGTGAGTCGATGTTTTGGCTGCTTTCTCCTTTCTTCCTTCCTCCTGAGAATTACAAGCGATCTTATTCTACCGAAATAAAAGTTGAAGATAAAGGATAAAGTTTCTGGGTTCTTCCAAGACTTTATTGCTTCACAGAGCGTATTTGGGATACGAAAGCAAATAAACAGCGAACGGGATATCACCTAACAGGACACGATCGTGTCTCTCAATGTCTTATTTATGTTTGCAGCTGCCGTTCTTGCGTTGAAATTTTTTAAATTTAGATTTCGTCACCAGTTTTGTAAAGGCCTTTTTTCTAAATATATATGACAGTGGAACGAAGCTGTATAAAAATCATGCATAACAGGAAGACGATAGAGCAAAGCCTGTTCTGTAAATGTGCAAAGTTCTGAACTCTGAAATACTCCAATGCTCGAGAAATTACTGTTAGTTATAGAGAACGAGCACCGAGGGTAATGTGTTCATGGAGTTGAAAGCACGGCATATCGCTCAGAGATAGACCAAAGCTGAATGCTTTATAATTTCAACCTCGGCGTAGAGGTAGCTTAAGAGTGGACAAATAGTTCAACACCAATTTAATAATTGGGGATTACAGTGATTACAGTGCAGTTGATAGACGAATAAGAGTAAGTTGAAGTCGCGCATTCCATGACAGGGTTCAGATCTTCTACTTTTAGTGGTTCGGGCATAATACACAGTACACTTCTACACTAGCTCTCTCTAATGAATGATTCTCCGCGGCGCCTTGTCCGGCAGCCAACCTCTCAATCATCTTGCTCGTCGTCGTAGAATTGCTAACCACTGGTTTACCAGTCGGTAAAGGATAAAACATTGAATCGTCTACTGCCAGCTGTTCACTTCTAATTGCAATAACAAATTCAGTCCACAGCCAGATTATCAATGGACATCTGGAACATTGTCGAAAATGGAGGTGATCACGAATCTCTTAGGATGCAATCAACATTGGAAAATATATGTACTCTAATAAGTAATACCGTAAATTATCACTTACAAAAGGGAAGATGGGTGTGGACCACAGTTCGAACTGACCCTCTTACATAGTGAGCTTATCGAAGAGAAGTTTTTCCAAAAATTTCTTGTCGCTCATTGAACTTCGCAAAAGTTTTCAACTTCTTCTCAGCGGGTTTTTTTTTCGAGTGTCCTTGTTTTCCCAACAATTCTTGTTCGGTACCGTTTCGTTGTTGACGCGGTTGCAGATGAATTCATGAAGAATGTCGAGCGCTTTTTCAGCGATGAATTTTTCTGATAACATTTTTATACACTTTCCACTGATATCGCTTGCAGCAAACTAAACAGACAATGTTTATTTCAAAAGCGATTATCATCGAGTACTTAGGAAATCACATTCTTTTGAATGTTTCCATAGAAATACAGATCTGTTCTGCGCTTGTTTTCCTGAGAAACATGGTGAACAGGCTCGCTTAGTGTAGTGGCTAGAGATGACTTGCAATAGACACGTAGTCTGAATTTCGATCCCGTGCCCATAGATCATAGCTTCCCATCTCTCCTGGATCGGCACATTGCTGCCAGACTTGTCTGGGATAGCAGCACCAGCTCGATACATCGGCAAGTTTCGCAGGAGTCACTGTATGGGTCAAATATACTTTTTGAATGCAGTTGAATGCACTTCGAATCCACAAGAATAGATCAACGGTGAACGCTTTATCGTCTAAAATTGTTGTAATTGCTTAATGGATGCTATGTAGCATTTCCACTTCTGATTAATCCCATTAAGAAACGCATTTCGCTTGCATCCATAAATCCGCTAATGTGCGCCGTGCGATCTAAGCCGATAGACGGCACTCCGTCAGTAGAAGAAACAAATCCGTCACGAGTTGTGGATGATTGAATAGATTTTGGAAATATGGGAAACGCCTCAACTGGTTATTGTCAAAATAGATTTTCTTTCGGTTTTCGGATGAAAAGTTCTGGTATACTCGTCTATTGAATCACAGCATGCGCGATACCACATAGCGAAAATTCATTCACATTCGCGGTGACAGTCTCTTTACTTTAAGTGGGCGGGCTCGTGTGGCGCAGTGGTCGGAGGTGCCCTGCGACACACACGTGGGAATCGATCTCTACACCGATGGTCCACTTAGCCTTCCATCGCTCCGTGTTCAGCAAATTGGTAGCAGACTTGTCTGGAGGACAGCAGCACTCGCTGGATGCATCGGTAGCTACCGCGGACCATTGTAAAGGCCAGATATGCATTCAATAACCTCCAAACGATGCTTGATGAACTTGAATGCATAGCACATCTCTCAGGGATTGATCAACGACGAGAGCTTTATCCTTTGTCCTTTAACTTTAAGTGGGCAAATTTTTAGTTAACTTATACTTGGCAAACTTCAGCTTGAGGAAAACTTGTAGTGCTAGTGAACTTGAAATTATAACAAACTTGATTAACTTCCCTTATCCTTTTCATGTTTTCTAAATCCTGGTTTTAAAATAAATACGAAGAATATTTTAGGAAAATGTCATATGCCCTTATAACGATAAAGCAAAGTTTTCTTTCTACAGCTTCACCAAGTCCTAAAGTGCACGAGTACTCTGCTTATCGAAGAAATCCGGACGCTTATCGAAAAATCAGAATCGTCGTGGTTGCTCAATAAAAAAATTCTGCCGCCATTTAAAATAGCCACTTTGATAATGACACTTTTAAACCTATGGAAGAAAAAACAAGCACAGTACACGATCTCTTCGCTTTAAAATTGGGAAACAAAGAAAAACAGTTGTGACTGGACTTCCACCGTTTAGAAGAATATCTGAAGTGATTTAATTTTACAACAGAGACTAAGTGACAAGAAAGCTTTAGAAATATTAACATGGCGATTGGAAAAATGTCTATGTCTAAAACTCTTTAGGAAATAAGCTCACGCGCAAGAGATCTCGGAGATGAATAGGTCAGGTTTTCATACTGTATGAAAGAAATTTTAACACAAAGAAAGAAAGTTCCTACAGCACTTTCCGCCAACACGCCTAGAATTGCCTTGTTATAGGTCAATTTTTAGAGAAATTTCTAAGAATACGGAAGTTTTAGAGCCTTGCTTGTAAAACTTCAGAATCTCTAGAGAAATCTCTCTTCCTGAAGAAAGTTACTAATTTACACTTAAGCCACGCTGTTCTTCTGGAACTTTCAAAAATTTACTCGAAATCAAATCTTCATTGTCTTGTTCAGGTTCATCTTCAGTGTGTTGCCTTGACAATACCGATTGAAACTTTAGTAGAAATTTCGACTGCTTTCTTAGCTTTTTTTTTCGTTGGCGGATAGAAAGGCCTCGAACAATGAAAACACTCGAAAGATCGCATGCTATTAGTCACTTCGATCTAAACACAAATAGAATGATCGCATGATCAGAAGTGTAATGACACGTGAAATCACATTCATAGATCTGCATCGCCAACAGAAAATGTTTCGATTCCATAAAAAACTGTGAGAAGATTTCACACTCGTCGTTCAGCCATTTCAAAACTTTTCACCTCTTCTGACTGCTGTTTGAGGATTTCAAAGTGTTCAATTACTGAAAAGCTCCGAAGATTCGAGTAGCCACCAGCGCCTTAGGTTTCCCTTTCTTATAATGACAGGCCTTAATCATTAGAGAATAAAATCTCCCATCACCTGAACCACAATAAACTTTCCAGAATGCAATTAGCAAAGCTATCACTCAGAACTCGAGTTCATCGAACAACTCGGTTCTTGGCAACGATGTATTGGTTCCTCTTGCTGATAGATGAAGACGTGACGAAGTAATTTATTAGTGGCTTTTACTTGAATTATCCGTCATTTCTGTTTAGAGAGTTATGCTCCATTGGAAATGTGGATTTCTTCTATGACATCTCTAATTGATGTCTGTTAATCTTTACTGTAGTTTCTCTTCCCTAGCAATTCAAACATAGACATACTCACATACATACATACACACGCATACACATCCACACACACTCACACACATACACATACACACACACACACACACACACACACACACACACACACACACACACACACACACGTATGTGCACACGATATGAAGGCTTGTAGTGTAGCAAAGAATAGTGCAACTGTACTAGTTAGTGTCCAGCAAATGGCTCCAACATAACGATGGACACGCTTCTGAGCAAGACACATTCCTGACTTGTCCATTAAATAGTCTTCACAAGAAACAACGCCGATCCAATAAGAGCTTGTCAGCTTCTATGACATAAAAGGAATTCGAAAAATTCTTGTTTAACTGGACAACATAGTGAACACTTTTTACGAGTCGATTGTGCGTTTACTGTAGCAACGAAAGATGCAGCGTTGTTGAAAGTAAGAAAGGGAAGAGTTGCAATGCTGTTATTTTCCCACACCACTATTCTAACTATTCCGTAGAACGCCACACATAACTTGCATGCTTGCCAAATAAATCCTTAAGTGACCCCGTAACAAAGTGGTGCGGGTCACAACACAACAATTTTCCCAATAGATTCGTTATAGTGTCACTGTCGGTCACGATCGCGTGTGATCTGCCGGCTTGAAGAGCTGTCGTTTTTTTTTCCTACTGATATGGCTATTTCTAGCCGATGATGATTTTTACTGGAATCCAAAGATAGCTGTACTGGAAGATTCCCAAGCCGTCACCATAGGAAGTTACCAGCCCGTTTACGCTGGAGGGAAGTTCGCCGCCTTACGAGTCAGATTCCTCCAGAACAGCAGCGATTACTGCAATTAGTAGACAGATCGATCATTCGTTGATAATATGACAGACCGTGTTTAACTTAGTAGTACAAAAACTATGACAAAAGTTTTTATAACAGAGTAGTCAATGAAGGATAAAAGATAAAGAATAAAGCTACAGGTGTCGATGAATCTCTGAAGGATGCGCCATGAATTCGACTTCATTAAGCATCGTTAGAGGTGACTGAGTGCATATCTGGTCTGCACAATGACTCGCGGTGGCCTACCGATGTATTGAGCCTGTGCTGTCATCGTCTCAGATAAGTTTGGTACCAATTTGCAGAACCCGGAAGGATGGAAGGCTTGGTGAACGAGCCATAGGCACGAGATCAATTCCACGTGTGTGTTGCAGGGCGCATCCGACAACTGCGCCACACGCGTTTAGTCAATAGGGGACGAAATATAATACTGGAATGTTTTAAAGGGATTCCCACATACCCATTTTTATCTAAAAATTTTTAGATTTGCTGAATAAGGTGGGTAAAAGGTAAAAGCAAAACTAGAAAAATAACACTAAGTAAACGAATAGAAAGGTAGTTAAGAGAAACGTGCGAATAATTACGTAGATAGGTTAACAATTAAGAGCAATACCCTTCACGAAGATGTTGGTTGCTTGCCATTCTTCTAAGTGAAATTAGTTCACGAGAATAAATTCTCCGTCACAATTGAACGCTTTTATACCAATCTTCTCATTACTGGGTCAGTCAATCGTTTTTTGAAATGACACTGTCCCCATTCCATGGCAGGTGAGAATTCTCTACCAGTCTCAGCGCCGAAGTAATTACTCAAAACTGCCACCCATTCAGAATTACACCAAAAAGTTGCGGTGGGAAATCTTACAACTACTGCATCTTGGACAATTCCAAGTTATGAAAATGGAGGAAGAATTCCGTCCATGTTTCCGGTTTATTTAAAGCTTTTGGAAGGACCGATTGTTTTATCTAACTGCACTTTGATCTTTTGCATTGTAATGTTTCAGATCATCATCTCTAAGATTACTAAATATGCTAAAAATACCTAAGGAATGCGGTATGTCAATCACCGTAACACGATATGCAAATCATCGATGGTTACATTTGAGTTGAATTCGTTAGCCACTGAATCATCAACGATCGACGACATTACAGATATCAACAACAGATGACGATCGGCATACCAACAAAAGAAAAAACAAACTGTTTCAGCCAATATTTTGTCAAAACGAAAGTTCGTACCGACGAACTGCAGTTGGATTTTGTTGCTTCCGATAGTCCCGTTAGTTCGATATTGAGTTTCATATCTGATTTATCAATATTTCATTGAAAACTCTTTAGCACAAATATTTTGCGTTTCCAGAGAAAATCACGCTCAATCAGGATTCACCGTACTAATGAGAGAAAGTAGCAAATCCTCAAGCATATAGTAATCAAACAAACACACGAACCAAGTCAAATCAATTCTGTAAATAACATTTTCATAAAAACAAATTCGCCGATGACATTTACAGGACAAAAAGAACGGAAAAAATTCTGGGTCCCGATGATACATGAGGGCGGACTATTTGACTACCATATTTCATTATTACTTACAGATTTGATGTAAACACTAACAAGTGTTTATGCGTAGCAGTGGAGGTGGGTTGAATTGAAAGGAAGACGAATTTCAGATTCAGGATGATTGGATTTATCCGTAACAATAAGCCGAATCGCTTCAGTTAACGTAGAAGCAGAAACTTTTTCCAAGTGTTCATCATTGTCACTAGCGCTAATGAACTTTCGCTAGACAGCTGTCTCTTAGGTTTTTTGGAGTTTAACGTCTTTCCTCTACGGAATGTGACTTTCAGCGCGCTCGCCAATGAGTCATAATGTTTAGCCACTCAATTTTTAAATCGCAATCATAATTGTCATTCATTTCTCAGTTACAGTATCATTTTGTTCTTTTTTTCTGAAAAGTAGTTGTGGAGCACCAACAAATAGATGAAAACGGTGGAATATTCATTAGTGGAAAATTGGAAAAAAAAATTGGAAAATAACTATTGGCAAATGGAAAACAACTCTAACGGAAGTAAGTAAACTGTAAAGTAAGAAACGCAACCTAAGGACCTCCGTGGCGCAGTGTGTAATGCGCGAGCCCCCGGAAAGGGAAATCGTGGTTCGACCTGGCCCAGGGTCCAAGTTTTTCGGATATCTCAGGATCGTTGTGGTTGTAATTCACATCAAACCCTGCTGTGAAAAATTATAGTACGCAGAAAATAAAAGGTTGACATTAGGTAAAGTGTTTTACATAGGATCTATTCAGTATGTCTGCTATTGATAACGTTAGTTTTGCCAAGAGATTATCACCTGTTCAGAGGTAATCACCGCTACGAAAAGTTCTCATTCTATCTTCGGATTCTAATTGACAAAAAATGAAGAGTTCAGAGTCACACAAAGTTTCCCAAGACATTTGTGCAGAAACTCTTTGCTCTACAAATAACGATAATTTCCCTATTAATGGAGACGTGAAGGACTTTAGAACTCTATAACAATGTAGAAAAGACTTCACTCTATGGCCTTGAAGATATAAACAGTTTGTACAAAACACCCTTTCAGGTTCGCTTTTAGAGTTAAATTCTTCGAAAAATTAGAATAAAAACTAACTTTTAAACATTTTCCAGATAAACGCAGCAGCGGAAAAAACTCCGGGACTGCTAGCACGTCTTCCTGACAAAATCCTACCTGTTCATTTGTTTCCGTTTTCGAAATCGAAAAAAAAAAAGAAAAAAAAAAACGTAACGCAAAAAAGAGCACGAAGCATACTTCGTTTGTTCCAAAATTCAAAACTCAATACTTCCTTAGATCATTTAGATAAGTTGATAGAACACTAATATATAAATAATCTACTGAATTGTTACGTTTGCTTTAATAAAATTAGTCCTTAACGAGAGGCATTTAATACTGATTTTAATATCGGTAGGAATTTGATACCGAAGGAAGAAGTAACTTCTATCTTGTAGGCAAGAATCTATCGATTCTAAGTTTATTTAAATTCATAGGCTTCGATGTGAACTAAGAAACGATAGCTGAAAATTAAAGCGTCAATCACATAAATTCGCATTAATGTCATTCCATGTGAGGCCACGACGCCGCTTAATTGTTAAGGGAGAAGGTGATCCTAGAGAAACTACTCCAATTCTTCAAGTTACACATACTAGCAAATAATGACACCTTCCTCTTGCTGTTTCGATATACACGACATCTGACGGCAGAATTTCAACTACATGATTCCTTAGATTTGAGCTTTCTTGTTTGCAAGCACGGACGATTGAAGGTGGCTTCAGAATTAGCAGTAGCGTAAGTCTCACAGTCAAGAAAGTTCTGAGAGGGTCTGAGATGATTCGGAAATTCAGCGGCGTCATAGGTACGACTGTGAAACCGGTCTTGTTGAGAAAACACTTGGAAACAGGAGCCAATTCAAAGTGACCTAGGCGAATTTAGCCGTCCGTTAGTGAAAGGGATCGAACACTGAACCGTGGGTTTAACAAAATTTAACAAGATGCCCTTCCTTTTTTTCCTTTGCATAGTCGCTTTTGGTTTCCTCTTGAATAAAGTAATGTAAGCACTCTGAAAACAATAAGGAATGACTATATTCTGTGATAGTGAACGATATCGAAGCCAGTACAGTAAACTAGTGCGACATTTCCAGCCTGAGAGCGAAACTTTGCTTAGAGTAAAGAATCGCAATTAACTGATAACATATCTTAAAAAACAGATAATACCGTATAGCGGTAATTGATCAATATCCATTCTTTATAAAAGGGCATCGAGAATTCACCGGATTCGACTCGGTGCGAGAACGCACACCCACATCGCTAGAACGACCATCTATGGATCACGGACTGGGTTCTATCCGGCTCTGAAGAACGCGATAACGTTAAAACAATAGCTGAATAAATACTTTTTTCCAACCTCATGATAGTTTAGTAATTTTAGAAGACATGAAATAGTACTATTCAAAGTAACTCTTCATCAAACATCTCCAATGTGAACTACTAAAATCTTCACACCTCCCTTTCACATTACGGAATTTTCCAATTGGCTCTAATGAAGTACATGCATATGCATCATGTTTTCGCTAAGGGTCTCTTCATTGTCAACAAATAGCATTGTTGACTAAGTAGTCTACAGATAGCTCTCCAGATTCTTCTATATGGCTGAGTGTACATACAGATAGCTATCGGGCCCTCTAACCCGGAACTTGAGGTGGAACCTATTTGTTGAGGTTGACCTTCATTCATCCTGCTACCTTCTATACATCTCCTTTCCCAATGCTCTTGGTAAAATCGAAGTAAAAAATTGAAAAAGAAGTCTTCATACAATACGTAAAACTACACTTATGTAACTATGCATTAATATCGAACATAATATGAGGAAGACAAATCATTCGGGCGCAGTCAAAGACTGCCAGCCCATTCAATGAATGCATTTGCATGTTAGGGGAAGGGTGAGCATCATTTGCCTTCAAAAGTCGGTTACTATTACATCTTTTTCAGAATACGGAACTATGGCCTACAAATTCTTACAACAGCTGGAATCTTTAAAGCAGTGTATTGTGCGAAAATGATCAGAATACACTAAGAAATCTGATGTCTGCAACCGATATTATTGGAAGGCACTAATTTTTAGTTTCGGCAACACCGCACAATCTCGAAACTTGCAAGAATTCTAACGTAAAAAACGAAAAATGTAGCTAAGCCTCATCTAGTGCATCAACTAACCTCTGTGTAACCGACTGCCCATTTTTAGGCCCCATACCTGGTGATTCTAGTAGTTTTAATTTCGATTAGAAACGTTTTCTATAATCGAAGAAATATGTGTCTTTCAAGAAAGCTTCGGTGTGAAATGAATAAGTCTTTTACCAGGATCCACTAGAAATCTACGGGTCAGTAATTCTTCAATAAACAGTTAAAGGTTTTCATATCAGCGATGGGTCTTCTCAAATAGGGGCCTTGTTTTTTTAATTCTTAGTTTATTTATTTTATATGACCCGTCTTCACATCCACTGTGCGGATCCCAGCACTTCTCCCACTCAATTCGTTTCGTCGCACCCATTATCCACGAAGATCTTCCAACTTTAATGTGTAGCTTCGGTTGCTGCTTGAGGATTTTCATTTCATCCCTAATGTCGTGGAATGCTGGTCGAGCAATTCTCGCTGGAGTCCTGAGATAGCCGGGCTGGAGCGTCCTCAATTGGATTGCAGAGAGTGAATAGTTTCCAGAAATGTCCGGTGCCCACTTTCCGACCCTGGAGGGATGGGAGGCTTGGATGGCCCGGAGCAGAATGGAACTAACACCATGCTCGTGAAGATGGATATCACTACCATTGTGCTAACCGCCTCTTGATCTTATTATAGAACTTCTATAAAAAGATAATCGAAACACCAAAGATGTGCTGACCATTAATGGTCCCAAAAATCGTATGTGCCCTCCTTTTTAATCACAGCAGAAGTTATAATGGTTAGAAACTAACATTAGTATAGTGGAGAGTTAAGGTTATAACAATAATAATATGATAATATAAGATCAAAGTTGTGATAATAAAGAAGTACTTCATTCGAAAGAGCGCTCATCCGAAAATAAACTTGGCAAAAAACCAGTTTTATAAAGAGCAATTACCGTTAACCTTTCCGTTTTCTGGCCATTATTATCTTTTCAGCGCAGGGTTTGATCTGGAATGCAACCCCAATGATGTTGAGATATTCGCAAAATTTGGACCTGGAGCCAGATCGACAATTAATAAGAGGCACTAAATAGAAAGGTCAACATTGCAATTTCGACTGCATCCTCAGCTTAAAGAGGTTCAATGCCGATTCGTGCTCATCAGATCAATCCCCGTTGAAAGGTGTTTGCTGATGGTAGTGATAGACAGAGAAATCCAAAACAAAGGCCTCAGTGGTGTCGTGCGCAATAGGTGAAACCCCAGAACCGTTAATCGAGGTACGATCAGGCCTGGCGCGTTCAAATTTGCTAATATGTCAGCACCATTGCAATTACCGTTTTGAGGAATCCACTAATCGAGTAGGTGGACGAAATAGATGGAAGACGAAATCGATAAATCAAAGAGTTGTTGAAGTCTACAGGTCAATGGTCATTCGGAAAAAGCAT